TTTCTTCGGTCCTGACAGAAACCCGTGTGGGGTGGGCGCAGGGCCCAGAGGGAGGGGTTGCCGCTCAGCCCGCATTCCCCTCCCCCGGGGACACGGGCCAGCTGGGAGTGGGGTCCAGATGGCAGCGCAGGCCCTGCTGGGCAGCTGGTACCAGGCTCCGACTGCGCGGCCTCCTCCTGCCAATATGTCAGCGCCATCAGCTCCCGGCAGGCTGGGCACCCCAACAGAGCAGCTCTGACTTCGTCGGACACCCCCATCCCTGTAGCCAGAAAGATGAAGGATCGCCCTTGGCACAGCCCAGCCACACTCGGGCCTGGGGCAGGGGACACAGCCCATGGCTGAGGGGCTGCATCACCCTACCGGGTCCCCCGAGCACAGGCATCATCCCAGAGCACTGCTGGGTGTGGCCCCAAACCTGTCCTTCCGGCAAAACCACCTGGGGGGCGGGGCAGGAGCAATAGCACAGCCGGTAGGGCATTTGCTTTGCACACAGCCAATTCAGGTTCGATTCCCAGCATCCCATATGGTCCCCCGAGCACCACCAGGAGTAATTCCTGAGTGCAGAGCCAGGAGTGACCCCTGAGCATCATCGGGTGTGTGACCCAAAAAGCAAAAAAAAAAAAAAGCCACCTGTGCCAGGCGCTGAGCATGTTTGTTTGCAACCCTCCAAAACGCGTATAAAATTGTCTCTGTGGGACTAGAGCAACAGTCCAGAGGGGAGGGTGCTGGGCTTATGCAGCCCCCCGGGCATCCCATAGGGTCCCCTAAGTACTCAGTGATCCCTGAGCACAGAATCGGGAGGAGCCCTTGAGCATCGCTGGCTGTGTCCCCCCACCCCAATAAACAAATCTACAATCCGTGTGAAATTAGGCTGCGTCCAGGCAGTGAATGTCCTGGTCCGGGTCAGACACGGGCCCTCATGTAGTCCGTGTCCCGGCTCGGTGAGACCCCACTGATGGGGTATGCTGGTGGCCAGGGACACTATGTGGATGTGGCCTCAAGCAACATTGCATGTGTGACAGGCAGATTCCAGGGTCTGTGACCCCAGCCACTAAGTAGCCTTGCTTGGTTCTCTTGAAGCTGGTGAGTTTTTTGGGGGGAGGGAGAGATACTCGGGGGTTAATCCTGGCTCTGCACCTAGGGATCACTCCTGGTGGGACTCAGGAGACCCTCTGGGATGCCTGGGATCGAACCCTGGATGACAGCATGCAGACGCCCTCCTGCTGCCCTATCGCTCCAGTCCCATCATTTCAGCTCTTCCAGGAACTCTTCTGGGGCACCCCCAAACTGAAGGGGACCCCTCTAGTATCCCCTGCCTCGGGCTTCTGTCCCCTGAATTGTCCCCTCCTCAGGGGCTGGTCTCTGTTCCCTCCCTCACGGTCCTCTGGGCGGCTCCAGCAACCACGTCAAGGCGAGCCTAGGTCCATTCCACGGTCCCCCAGCACCTGGGTGTGTGGGTGCGGGAGGAATCCCCGACTGGGTGAATCAGACCTGCAGGCGGGGTGGACTGGGGAGGTGGGTGCCGGCCGCGTGTGTGGATTCCTGGAGGACCTCAAGTCCAGCCAGTGATGTTCCCTCCTCTCTTCCTTCCCGTCTCACTTAGGGACCCTGCAGGGCGAGCGATCAAACTTGGGGGCTCCCAACTCGTCAGGATCTGCACAGCTGTCAAGCTTCACGTTTTATTTTTGGTTTTAGGTTCCCACCTAGGGTGCTGGGAAGGGCTGTTGCTAAGCCAGGAACCCTGTAGTGCTGGGGATGGAACCTGGAACCGGGTTCCCACATGTAAAGTCTGACCTAGTCCTTTGGGGCATCACTCTGAGCCCATGACGCCGCCCCCCTCAGCCTCCCTTTTACTTGTAACACCTGATGTTGCTCAGAAGTTACTCCTGGCTCTGCACTCAGGAATCACTCCTGGCGGTGCTCAGAAGACCATAGACCATATGGGATGCCAGCATCGAACCCAGTTGGCCGTGTGGAAAGCGAACGCCCTACCTGCTGTACTATCTCTCCACACCCCCCACTTTTTTTTGGCTTTTTGGGTCACACCTGGTGATGCTCAGGGGTTCCTCCTGGCTCTGCACTCAGGAATCACTCCTGGTGGTGCTCGGGGGACCCTATGGGTTGCTGGGCTTCGAACCCGGGTCAGCCACATACAAGTCAAGTGCCCTCTCCGCTGTACTATCACTCTAGCCCCCACCTCCACATTTATGGGGCCAATGACACCCCACCAGTTCCCTGCACTGCCACTATCACTTTTTTTGTTTATTTTTTGGTGCTCAGGGCTTACTCCTGGCTCTGGGCTCAGGGGATCACTCCTAGGACCCTATTTGGTTCTGTGCATTGAACCCCAGTTGGCTGCTTGGAAGACAAGTGCCCTCCCGTCTAGAGCTGGGAAAACACCCGACTTGGATTCTCCTGCCCCAAATGCAGTCAGCATGGACTGAATACCCCCTTGGCACTGCTCCAGCTGGGAGCTGCACCCCCAGCTCCGGGGAACATAAACAAATGGGGAACGAATGAATGAGCTCAGGGCTCACTTCTGGCTCTTTGCTTAGGGATCACTGATCACTCCTGGCGGGGCTCAGGGACCAGAGGGCATGCCTGGGGTGGACCCAGAGTGGCTGCACACAAGGCAGCCGTCCTCCCCACTGTACTATGGGTCATCTCATTTCATCATCTTGAGCGACTGGGCGCCCCCCCCCCCCCATTCAGTTACTCTGCCTGATTGAAGTTAGTCTTCAAATTTTGCCATCACGGTATTTGTTTACACATTCCTCTGCACATCTCCCCTGCCTCCCCGCCCCAGGCTCAGGGATGGGCGGTGTGGTGGGGGACGGGCAGAGAAAGCTGCCGCCAGGACCCCTGCCGCCAACACCCACCCCCCGCCCCAGACGATGGGAAATAGATGTGAAATGAGACAAGCGGGAAATGATGGCGGGGAAGCTAGCTCGCAAACGCGGATCTCGGGACTTCCAGAACCCACTTTGCAGAGTGGGGAAACTGAGGCTCGTGAAGGCAAAGTCGCTGATCCAGTGGCCCCACAGCGAGGGAGCGCGCGGATACCGGTTGGGGAGATCCCGAAGCCCCCTAGCGGCGTCCCACCCCGCACCCCCTTCTCAGGGGAACGGAGACCCCGCAGGGGAGGCGCTGTCCGGGCTGGGGGAGCTTCGGGGCGGTGAGCGGCGGAAACGACCCGCGCAGGCGACTCGGTGCCTCTGCGGGTCTCCCCGACTGGAGACGCTTTGCGGGCACAATCGGTACAGCCCGGCGCTGCCGGGAAGCTTCCGGCGTCTGGCGATCAATTCTGGGACTGGGGTTTCTGAGACCCCACTCCACCGGCACTGCGGGACGGGAATCTGCAAAGCCAGATTCCCCCCTTCTCAGCGCGCCCCGCGCCTTCCCCGGAATCTCCGGCATCGGGAGGAGGGGGTCCTCCAAGCAAACCTTCAGCCAGGAGGCGGGCCTGAAACCCTAAAAGGGCGTCCGGAGGGGAGCCCCGGTTTGCACCGGGAACAGAGGAAGCTCATGCCCCAGCCCCCACGCCCTGGTCCGGCCCCGGGCCGGGGGTCCCCTCCCCACCGCGGCTCACCGCCCGATCTTACCTTGAGGAGGGGGGCGGGTGGGGTGCAAACCCCGCCCTCTCCAGCCTAGAAGAGTGAGGGGGCACGGGGGGGGGGCAGTCCAGACCCTTTGTTTGCTGGTGTGTGTGTATGTGTGTGCGCGCAATTTTGCGCCCCGCTGGGCTGTGGGTCCGTGTGCGCGCGCGTGCCCGGGCCGTGACGGTACCGAGCGACCGGACGGCTACGGCTGAAGGGGGAGGGGAAAGGGGAGAAGAAGGGGTCACCCCCCCTGCCCCCGCTCACTCCCGGATTTGAATGGAGCGCCAGGGGGAGGGGCGGCTGCGGGCGGGCGCTTTTGTCTGGATGGCCCCTCCCCATACCGGACCAGGGAATCCCCCCCAATCTCAGGCCCCCGGCCCCTGGAGACCTTTACTTCCTTCCCTCGGGTCCCATTTCCAGAGGGAGAGTCCTGCAAGCTTATCCCACCCCCACTCCGGTGGTTGGAGGACTTCCCAAGCACCCCGATCCCCCCCCTGGAGATAATCCGAGATAGTCCTGCGGCGGGTTTGCAACGCGGCCTTTTTATCCCGCTCTTAAAAAGTCGGGGTTGTCCTGTATGCGAATTGCAAACCCTCCAAAGCAGAGTCATGGAGTTCTTAGAGCCCTAGCAGAGAAAGGGGAGGGGGGTCCCGACGAAAGGCACGGTCCAGGGTTGTACCCGGTCTGGGAGACCCTCGGTCCGCACCTCCTCGGCGCCCCCGCATCCGGCTCCGCAGACACTCACCAGCCACCGGCCCGGTTCGCGGGGCCCGAGCGAGCACGGGCCGCTGGTTAGACACCAGCGACACACAGCGGTCTCAAAGGGACACGTCCCCGACCCGCGGGCGCCCCAGACCCGTTAGCGGGATGGGGTGATTCCGCCGCGGGTCTCGGCGCGCCAAATGCCGCTTGGGATGGACAGGCAGCGGTCCCGAGGTCGGGCCATGCGCACTCCTCTCCCAGCCCCCCATACCCCCTAGTTAGACCCTCCCGAGGTAGGACCCCGGCACCCCTCGGGTTGGAAAGACCCCTTCAGATCTGACACCTCCTCCCCCGGTCGGGCCGGGTCCCGCTTCTCTCCGAGGCTCCGCCCCTGCGGTGAGCTCGGGCAGGCGTCACTGCTGCGTGGCTAAGGGACAGTCCTGTCGCTCGGGCTCTCCTCCTGCACCGCCCCATCCCCCACTCCCCCTAGCCCACCTAGTGAGAAACGAGGGTGGTTCGAAGTCCGAGCGCTCCCCGGTATCCCCGCAAGGTCCTAAAGGAGGACCCGCGCCCCCAACCGGCGGGTCACGGTTGCGGGGGGCGGGTTCCCGAGACCCTCAAACGCGGGCGCCAGCCCCTTTAAGAGGAGTTCAGTCGCCAGGACCGCCGCTGTCGTTGCTAGGGAAGTGACGCAGGCGCGGACGGTGGGCCGGAGCTCCCGGCCGGAAGCGGAAGGGGCGGGGCTTCGGCCGAGTGTCCAGCGCTGCCGCCGCCGCCGCCTGACCCGGAGCGGGCTGGGCCGCCGAGGCAAGATGGTCGACTACAGCGTGTGGGACCACATCGAGGTGTCCGACGATGAGGACGAGACGCACCCCAACATCGACACGGCCAGCCTCTTCCGCTGGCGGCACCAGGTATCGCGCGTGCGCCCGTCCGCTTCGCCCCCTTCTCCCGGGACCCCGCTGCAGAGTTGGGAGCACGGGGGCGGGGGGACCCCACCGCGGACACCCGCGACCCCACTCCACAGTCTGGACTTCCAGCCCCCCGGACCCCCAAGTGACCGGGACCTTGACTGCGACCCCAGCCCCCCACCCCCCAGCTTTGACTTGTGCACGGGACCCCCCCCCACTCCCTGGGCGCGGGGCTCCCGCGGGGGTGTCCCTTCAACCCATCTGGGACCCTTTTTTTAGGGGGTAGCGCCTGATCTTGTCCCAGTCCCCGCTTCTGGGACTGGCCCATCAGCCCTTGGTTCTATTCTGAGCCCAACCTGCCCGGGAGCGGGATGGGGGTTAGGGGTCTAGGCGGGGTTCGGGTTCGGATCCGTGGAGCTCGCGGGTCTGCGCCCAACAGTGTTCAGTCTGCCCTTCCTGGAGGTCTGCCGCGTTCCCCGAGACCCCCCACACCCCTTCTCCCGTCGTGGAGTCTCAAGACTGGCCTCCTTCCCCCCCTCGGTCCCCAGCCGCGCCCTGACCCAGTGGCCAGCCTCCTCCCTCGCCTGGGACCCCCGTTTCCCATTCTAGCAGGAAACCCGACCCACGTGGCTTCCGGCCCCCCACGCCTGGTATTTCAACCCAGTCCCTGGCTATCCCCCCTGTCCCCCACCCCCCAGACTTCCTGTGTGACCAACCTCCCTCCAGGGAAGGAAAACCACCTCCCAAGATGAGTGCCTTGACCCCTCCCTGCCCAGCAGGCGCCTTCTGGGGGTGATTCCAAATCCAGAAGCCCAGGTCTGTCCTTCCCCTCTCCCTCCCAGCCTGGTGGTGCTCGCGGGAATATTCTGGCTTTTGTTGGGGGCGGGCGACACACCCGGCTGTGCTCAGGGATCACTCCTGGTGGGTGTGCAGGGACCGTCTGGGGAGCTGGGGTTTCACCTGCGTTCCAGGCAAGCCCCTCCCCCCCGTACCATCATCACAGGAATATTCTGATCTGCTGTGCCGTCCCCCAAGCCCCGCAAATCAGAACCACCCCCACACGCACCACAGGGCACGCAACTCAGCTCTCCCCACTCTCCCACCACTCTTCCCACCATCTCCCCACTCTCCCAAAGGAAGGGGCGTTCATTTGTCCCCCGAGGGCCCCGTTTTCCTCCACCCCCCATCCTGGAACCCCAAGTCCAAACCCATCCTCTCCAACTGGGCTTGCTGCCCAGTGCAAGGAAGAAAGTTCTAGAGTTTTTTTTGGGGGGGTCACACCCAGCGATGCTCAGAACTTACTCATGGTTCTGCACTCAGGAATCACTCCTGGCGGAGCTCTGGGGACCATATGGGATGCTGGGGATCGAGCCCAGGTCGGCTGTGTGCAAGGCAAATGCCCTCCCTGCTGTGCTATTGCTCCAACCCCAAAGAGTTCTAAAGTCTTTCTTCCAACGGGTCCCATTTTACTATGAGACCTTTAGGGTCTCAGCAAAGCTGCGGGACCTTCTCTTGGGGGCACCTACTTGGTTTTACTCTTTTGGGCCACACCCAGGGATGCTCAGAACTTACTCCTGGCCCTGCACTCAGGGATGCCTGCTGATTGCACTTGGGGGACCTGGTGGGGTACCAGGGATGAATCCAGGTTGGCCACATGCAAGACAAGCGCCCTCCCTACTGTACCATCAGTCCAGTCCCAGGGGACACCTGTTTCTTGCACTCAAAGGAGGCTGATCTGTGTGTACTGCCTGTGGGGAGCCCAGGCCCCCTTTTCTGCAGCGTCGTCCTTCCAGAAGACCCTCCTTAAGCTGGGGCCAGAGACTCTCCCTGTCTGTCCTGAGCGCCCCTCTCTCCTGGGGCCTGAGGCGGGGTAGGGTCCCGCAGGATTTCCTGTACCTGATTCTGATCCAGCCCAGCCTCAAGCATCTCAGGCTTTTCCGGGTACCTGGCCCCTGCACCCTACCTGGTGGAATTAAGGGAGGGAGGGAGCTGGCACGAGGTGGCGCCTGCCCACCCCAAGTTTATTTTTTTACTTTTTTGCTTTTTTTTTTTCTTTTTGGGTCACACCCAGCAAGGCACAGGGCTTACTCCTGACTCTTCACTCAGGAATTACTCCTGGCGATGCTCAGGGGACTATATGGGATGCTGGGAGTCAAACCCAGGTTGGCTGTGTACAAGGCAAACGCCCTACGCGCTGTGCTGTCGCTCCAGCCCCCCATTCCAAGTTTAAGTCCTGGCCCCTTCCGAGAGTGGACAGGGGAAGGCCCCACCTCTCGGCTGCTCTCCTTGGAGGGTGCCACTGCCTGAACCCCCATCCCCAGAGAGGCCCCCTGGCTAGATGCACGTAGAGTCGGGGCCCAGGGCCAAGCCTCAGAGAGGTGCCCACACGTGTGCTCTCAGGCCCAGAGCCTCCACTCAGGCTGGGAAGCAAGCGACCCACCAGATGATAGGTGGTCGTGAGGGGTCAGGGGGACCCGCGGGCACCTGCCGCACTTGCCCTAGAGCCCTGCCATTTGGGTTCACTGGGAGCTTCTTTATCTCCCCTCCCAGATCGGAGGGAAGGAGCAAGGGAGCACCCTTAAAATTGCAGGGTGGGGAGGGGGCGTAGGGGTGTTTTTCTTGCCCACGGTGGGCCTGGGTTCGATTCCCGGCATCCCATAGGGGCCCCCAAGCGGTTCCTGAGTGCAGAGCCAAGAGGAACCCAGAGCATAGCCAGGTGTGACACCCCCCTCCAGAAAAGATGAAAAAAGATTGGTGGGGGGATGTCTAGGTTAAATGAGACTCTGCTCAGGGCTCGCTCCTGCCCTCTGTGCTCGGGGCTCGCTGCTAGCAGTGCTCAGGGGACCCTCTGTGGTGATGGGGACTGAACTGGGGTTCGGCCACAAGCAGGGTGAGCACCTTAGGTCCTGGGCTGCCCCTGGGGCCCCAGGCCAGCTCAGTGACACCCTACTAGAGCATGTTGACTGTGGGCTCAAGTGGGAGTTCTGGGGACACCGTCTCTCCCCTCGTCATCCAGTCACGGGGCTCAGTGCTGTGGGGAGCAGGGTCGCCACACTGGAACTCCGTGGCGGGGTGGGGGGGCTTGGTGACCTCTGGGAAGCAAGCAGTGGGCACAGTAGGTTCATGGGAACCCCCGCTCCAGCTTGAGGTGCGGGAAAGGCTGCGCGTGCCACCGAGGACCCCCGGCAGCTTCCACCCCGGGTGGAAGGGCAGGGACCGGAGGGGTGGGGTGTGGGGGAACACCTCTGATGGGGCCGGTCCGTGGGCGTGGCCTCCGATCAAGCCCCGCCCCGCCTCAAGGGTGGGGGTGTGGGGAACACCTCTGATGGGGCGGTCCGTGGGCGTGGCCTCCGCTCAAGCCCCGCCCCTCCCCGCCCCAGGCCCGCGTGGAGCGCATGGAGCAGTTCCAGAAGGAGAAAGAGGAGCTGGACCGGGGCTGCCGCGAGTGCAAGCGCAAGGTGGCCGAGTGCCAGCGCCAGCTGAGGGAGCTGGAGGTGGCCGAGGGCGAGGGCGGCCGCGCCGAGCTGGAGCGGCTGCGGGCCGAGGCGCAGAAGCTGCGCAAGGAGGAGCGGGGCTGGGAGCAGAAGCTGGAGGAGCTGCGGCGCAAGGAGAAGAGCATGCCCTGGAACGTGGACACGCTCAGCAAGGACGGCTTCAGCAAGGTGCGGGGCGCGGCGCGGGCGCGGGCCGGGCGGGCCGGTGGCGGCGGCGGACGCAGCACCCCACCCGCGTCACCCCCGTCTCGTCTGCTCCCCCAAGGCCCTCACCCGAGGCCACACCTGCCAGGCCCAGGCCCCTGCCACCCGGATGTTCCTGGCGCCGCGCCCTGCACCGTGGACGGGATGGGCGCGGCGACCCCGGCCCCCGCGGCCCCGGCCCGGGCCCACTCCCCCTCTCGCCCCAACACAGAGCATGGTCAACACCAAGCCGGAGCAGGCGGAGGAGGAGTCGGAGGAGGTGCGGGAGCAGAAGCACAAAACCTTCGTGGAGAAGCACGAGAAACAGATCAAGCACTTTGGTGAGCGGGCGGGCGGCGGGGTGGCCGGCGAGTGCGCGGAGGTGCCGGCCAGCGGCCCAGCAGCCCGCCGACACCCCTGTCGCCCGGGCACAGGCATGCTGCACCGCTGGGACGACAGCCAGAAGTACCTGTCGGACAACGTGCACCTGGTGTGCGAGGAGACCGCCAACTACCTGGTCATCTGGTGCATCGACCTGGAGGTGGAGGAGGTGAGCGCGCCCCCCAGCGGCCGGGCTGGGCACTGCCCGGGGCCGCCTCGCTGACGGCCCCCTGCTTGTCCACCCCCGCAGAAGTGCGCCCTCATGGAGCAGGTGGCCCACCAGACCATCGTCATGCAGTTCATCCTGGAGCTGGCCAAGAGCCTGAAGGTGGACCCCCGGGCCTGTTTCCGGCAGTTCTTCACCAAGATCAAGGTAGGGGAGGGGACCCGTCGGTCTGGGGGGGGGGGTTCCCGCGCCCCCGTGACCTCCCTGACCTCCGCGGCCCCCCCACCCCCGCAGACCGCAGACCGCCAGTACATGGAGGGCTTCAATGACGAGCTGGAGGCGTTCAAGGAGCGCGTGCGCGGCCGCGCCAAGCTGCGCATTGAGAAGGCCGTGAAGGAGTACGAGGAGGAGGAGCGCCGGAAGCGGTTAGGGCCCGGTGGCCTGGACCCCGTCGAGGTCTACGAGTCCCTCCCCGAGGTGCGGCTGCTGCGGCTCCCCGCCCCCTGACTCCCCCCAAGGCGGGGGACCTCGGCCTGACCCGGCCCCCCTCCGCTGCCCCCTGCAGGAGCTCCAGAAATGCTTCGACGTGAAGGATGTGCAGATGCTGCAAGATGCCATCAGCAAGATGGACCCCACGGTGAGGCCCTGCAGGGTGGAGTCTGTGGCTTGTGACTGGGAGGCCCCGTCGAGGAAGTGTCCATCCAGCCATCCTCGGGTACCCCTGAACCTGCCCCCGCCACCCCCAGTCATGTCATCCTCAATGATGATCAGAAGCAGTTTCAGGGCCGCTCGGCCCTGGCTGTCCCAGTGGACTCTGGCGGGACCCTGTTAAGCCACTCCTCCCTGGCCAGCCACACGGATCTCCTCCTTTATAAGACCCAGACAGGGATTCTAGAAGCTTCCATGGGGTGAGCATTGGAGAGCGATGTTTCCCGGGGTGGGTATGGTGGCCCCAGTGCCACGTGGAGTCCTAAGCACAGCCAGTGTTCTTCTGTTTATGGCCCCAAAACCGAACATTTTCTTTGGGAATGTGGTCTTTAATTTTTGTCCTTGAGAAGGTGGTCATAAACCAGGTGAGTTTGAGAACCTTTGGTCTGGAACAGGCTCCTGCTCACTGACTGGGACTGACCACTAACTGCCCTCCCCCTTCCCGCCTGCCCTTCGAAAATTCCGTTGGTACATGGGGCAGAGCAGGCCACTTGGCTGTATTTTACTTTGGGGGGGGGTCACTTCTGACTCTTCCCTCAGGAAGTACTCCCAGCAGTGCTCGGGGGGACCATATGGGATGCTGGGAATTGAATCCTGGTCAACCGCGTGCAAGGCAGACGCCCTCCCCACTGCCCTTTCACTCCGGCCCCTGATGTATTTTCCTTTTGTCTGGCTGGTTCTGTGACCTAGACCAGAGAGTGGTGAGAAGTTCCCCAAGGTTTCTGCTAAAAGAGTTTGTTGCCCACAGGCCAGAGTGCTAGGACATCATGTGGAGGCGTGTGCCTTGCACGTGGCTGGCCGGGACTGATCGAGCACTGGTACCACAGATGCCCCCCAAGCCCACCAGGAGTGACTCCTGAGTGCAGAGCCAGGGGTTACCCCTGAGCACCCCCAGGTGTCACACGCACACACACAAGTTTATTGCCAGGGACGTGACCCCTGGGCTGTGCGTGAGGCTGTGAGGTCCTTCCCTCACGGTCAGGGGCCGGCACAGACGGGACAGCCCCTGTCCCTTCCCTGGGCAGACAGCTCTGGGGAACAAGGCCATCTGGCCCGGGCAGGGCGACTCACCCGCCCGCCTTCTTGCCCGCAGGACGCCAAGTACCACATGCAGCGCTGCATCGACTCGGGTCTCTGGGTCCCCAACTCCAAGTCAAGTGAGGCCAAGGATGGAGAGGAGGGGGGCCCCAAGGACCCCGCGGCGGACGCCAGCCCCAAGGCCAGCGACCAGAAGGATATCAGCGCGTAACCCGCCGCCCCCCGCCTACAGGCCTTGCCTCACCCCCCCCCCCACGCACCCCTTTTCAGAAAACGAAAATAGATACCGTCTCCCCACTCCTGGCTTCCTCCACATGTATCCCCCCGCCCCAGGAGCCCACCCCTCACTGCCTCCAAATCCCCATCTTGGCTTGGGGTCCAGGGGCCTCACTGCCTGTCCCCCTCCCCAATCAGCATAATGCCAAAGGCCTGGGGGCCCCGGCAGGGGGAGAGGTCGGTCCTCAGGGCAGGGATGTGGACCCCCACAGCCAAGGGGCTGTCTCCAGACGGGGCGTCTGTGCGTGATGGCGGGCCGCGCGGCGCCTTCGCTCTGGCAAAGGGAAATGTCGCTAATAAAAGTCTCAGACGCGCTCTCGTGGGGCGTTGCCGGGGCTGTGGCCTCAGCTATTCTCTGTGGGGGTAGGGAGACCCCTGAGCCCTGTTTTTATGTATTTGGGGGGAGAGGAACACCCACAGTGTTCAGGACTGACTCCTCACTGCACTCTGGAGTTGCTCCTGGCGGGCTCAGGGGACCCTCTGGGGTGCCAGGACTTGTACCCAGGTCAGCTCCATGCCAGGCAAGCTCCGTCCCCCCTGTGCTATCTACCCCGTCCGACACCCCCCCACCCCACTGTATCTGTTTTAATTGTTTTGTTCTGGAAGCCACACCCAGCAGTGCTCAGGGCTTCCTCCTGGGTCGTGCATTGCACAGAGAGATGCTTGGGGGAGCCTGTGGGTGTCTGGGATCACACCCTGTCGGCCCCAGGCTAGGCAAGCACCCTCCCCATGGTGCTCTGGAGTCTGGAAGTCACCCCGCCAGCCCCTAGCCCAGGGCTCCCTCATTTGGCCTGGACACCTGGGTGCCCCTGTTGATACCCCCTCCTCAGAGTAGCACCGACCCCTGTAAGCTTAGGTCAGGGCCACTGCCTGCCCCTATAGCCCCCGAGTTGAGCAACCAGAGCAGCCAAGTGCCCAGCACCCGAGCACAGCAAGTTCCGTTTGGCATCCCTCCCTCCCCCAAGCCCTCTGAGCCCCCGTCCCTGCAGTTTTACCTGGAAAGGGGATTAAGCTGTCTGGACCCCGGGAACAGCTTGCTGGGGGCTGTATGGTACAGGAAGACAGCCACTTGTCAACGTAGAACATGAGTTTCACATTCACGGTGAGGCCTCTGCCCGTTGTTCTCCAGAACACCACTGCGAATGACTGTTTATTTCCAGACCACTGCCCCGGGTCACCTCCTAGAGACCCTCCTTGATTACCTTCTCAGTTGGGGTGTCAGTTGGGGACACAATAGGTTTGTCAAGCCAAGGGCCCCATATTTGCTTGTGCTCAAGCTCTTTGCCACCAGGGGGCAATGGTGAGCTGTGGACGAATATGCCCTAAGGATGGTGCGGTTTTTGTTTTGTGTTTAGACCACACCAGGCAGTGCTCAGGGCTTACTGTGTTCAGAGATCACCCCCTCTGGGTTGGAGCAATAGCACAGCGGGTAGGGCATTTTCCTTGCACGCAGCCGACCCAGGTTCAATTCCCAGCGTCCCATATGGTCCCCTGAGCACCACCAGGAGTAATTCCTGAGTGCATGAACCAGGAGTAACTCCTGTGCATCGCTGGGTGTGACCCAAAATGCAAAAAAAAAAAAAAAAAATCACCCCTCCTCGAGGGGCTTAGGGGACCGTAGGGGGTGCCTGGGATGGAACCCAAGGCAAGCACCTTACCAGCTATACCATCACTGCAGCATGTGTGTGTCCTGTCTCCCTCACCCCTCCCAAGCATTCAGGGGGAGCCTGAATGGGATTTACCTGCCCCTTGGGGTTCACTAGCAACTGTTAACCTCTCCTGGGTTGAAAATGTTCAGGGGGGGCACGGTGGAGAAGGCGTTTGCCTTGTTTATGGCCAACCCGGATTCAATCCCTGGCATCCCTTATAGTTTCCCAAGCACCGCCAGAGGGGGGGGGGGGGGATTCCTGAGTGCAGAGCCAGGATGTGACCCCTGAGCATCACCAGATGTGACCTGTCACTGTCCTCCCCTTGTTCATCGATTTGCTGGAGCGGGCCCAGTAACGTCTCCATTAGAGACTTTGTTGTTACTGTGTTTGGCATATCGAATACGTCACGGTGAGCTTGCCAGGCTCTGCCGTGTGGGCGAGATACTCTCGGTAGCTTGCCGGGCTCTCCGAGAGGGGCGGAGGAATCGAACTCGGGCCGGCCATGTTGGCTGCGTGCAAGGCAAACGCCCTACCAGCTGTGCTATCGCTCCAGCGGTGTGACCTAAGAAGCGCAAAAAAAAAAAAAAAAGGTTCAAAGACAGAATCTTAGGACTCTCTTTCCTCTCTCTCTGGTGCCCTCGGCCTATTTCCTGTTGGGGTGCAGTAGTCGCGGGGCTCACTGCGGTTTGCACCCCTCAGGCCACGACGCTTTCCCACCCACCTGCGCAGCCTGGTTGTGGAGCTCCAGGAAGTGGGGTTATCGGGTGGTGGCTTTCACGCACCTGCCCGCCAGGGGGCGCTTTTCCTGGCCGCGGCGCTCACGTCTTTCCACGCCACCGGGCGTTCTTGGTTTTCCCCTAGTCAGGAGTCACCTCTGGGGAAGCCCCTTCTAGCAGGCCTTCCCCCGAGAATCCCCCAATTCCACTTCCTCCTTCAGACCTACTTGGCCAGGTTGACCAGTCATCCCAGTTTTATTCCTGTCTCAGCTTTAATTCTGGAAAGTCCCCCTTTGAGGGAACTTCCTCCTCCAACCTGGCCACCCCCTGGGACCGTTCCAGGGCCGTTCTGGCCGGTTTTCCATCAGCTGCCGAGGTGTGGGGAGAGCTTGATACTATTTTTCTTTGGATCGGGGCACACCCAGCAGTGACTACTCCCACCGGGTGGAAATGAGACTCGAACCCAGGGCTTCTGCCTGCAAAGCCCGAGCTCAACCCACCAAGCTGCCTCCTGGGCTGGCAGCCCAAGATGACTCAAATGTCTGGAGCGTTTGCTTTGTTGCAGACACCACATGACTTCTCAGCACGGTGGGGTGTAGCTCTGGGGGCCCCAAAAAAACTCTCCAGAGAAGCCCCAAATAAAATTAAGAAGGAAAATAAAAAGCACTGGAGAGGATCCAGAGAATTCTAGGCACCCGGCCCTACGGCCCAGCAGGGGAAAGAAGAGGAAAATGATTGTCCTGATTTATTGTCCTGACTAGGTTTATTACCATCATTGTTATTATTTGGCCCTTGGGAACTTCCTGTGGAACTTGTCCCAGGTCCCACCTCAAGCCCACTGCACCCCTACGAAAGGCTGGCTGGGAAAGAATTTGGCTCCCCAGGGTCCAGGGGTGGAATTCAATGCACTGAATCCAATGTGCTTGGTGGGCAGGAAGCCCAGATGTCACCCCTGGCACTGCATGGCCCCCTGAGCACTGTGCCAGGAGTAGTCCCTAAGCTCCATTGGGTGTGGTCCCAAAATCAAAACTAAAAACCAGAATCTGGCTCTCTAAGGTTCTTCCTGCCACTTTTTCAGAGATGGGGAAGTTGAGACCAGAAAGCCAGAGCCAGCCCTTCCGCCCAGGCCCGACCAGCTCCCAGCCTCTTCACTCCACCCGCCTCTGGCTGGCTCCCAGGAACCAGACATAGTGCCAGGGGCTGTGGACACAGTGAGGAGCCCGGTGGGGGACGGACATTCTGAAGTGCCATGTGGGAACTGTCTATAGGCCTCAGAGAAAGCAAAACAAAATAAGGGAGACAGTGGCAGAATGGGAGCTAGGGTCGGGGTAGCTGGGAGGGTTTCTTGTTGCTTTTGTTTGAGGGGTGGGGGGGGGCGCACCCGGCTCTGCTCTCCTGGCTCCGCGCTCAGGGATCGCTCCTGGCAGGGCTCCATATGTGGTGCCAGGGATTGCACCCAGGTTAGCTGCTTCCAAGCAGTGCCTTGGGGCCCGCGAGTACCACCCACAATCACGTCCGAGGGGCTGGAGCACTGGGGCAGCGGGGTGGGTGCTTGCCTTGCATACTTCGGACCCGGGCTCAATCGCAGGCATTCCAGAGGGTCCCCCGATCTAATCCCTGAGTTTAGAGCCAGGAGTAAGACTGAGCAGCGCTGAGAGTGGACCCAAAGCGAAATAAATAAAACAGCGGCTATGGAGGCCGAGAGACAGCGCAGTGGGGGCGGCGCTAGCCTTGCACGCGGCAGACCCACCCGAGGTGGGTCCCCCAAGCGCCGTCTGGAGTGAGCTCTGAGCCGCACCACGGGTGGCGACTTGCTGCACTGGAGCTCAGAGCAAGCGGGGCGCCACCCTGAGAGCAAAAGGGGGCTCCGAGGGGGGAACCAGCAGGTGGCCAGGAAAGGGATGTAGCTTGGGGGAGCCGGAAACACCACCCCGAGCAGGAAAGGGGGGTGGGGAGTCTCAGCAATGTTGGAGGTCGGCCAGGAAGAAAGCCAAAGGGGAGCGGGGTTCCGTGGGACCGAGCGGCGGCCGGAGGCAGCCGGGGCCCGCGAGGGGCAGCCGCGGGAGCGGATTTCACTCTCCAACGCCCGCGGGGTGACAGCGACCCGCGAGTGCGTGGGAAGACCCCGCCCCGTCCCCCCTCCCGCCGCGCCCCGCCCACTTCGCAGCAGCCAATCGTAGGCCCCGAGGGCCAGGCAGGGCGACCAATGGCTGTGCGCGTTTCAGCTGGCCAATGGAAGGCGGCCTCTCTGCGGGCTCGCTCGGGACCTCTCAGGGCGGCGGGGCGGGGTCTCGGGTCCGACGGAGCCCGGGCGGCGGGTGAGTGTGGCCGCGGGGCCCGCGGGGGGCGCCCCGGGTGGGCGGGGGACTCGGGTGGACGCGGCGGGCGGGAGACGCCGGGACCCGCCGCACTTGGCCGCAGGAGGGTCGAAGCGCCTGCTGGCGGGTGCGTGGCGGGTTCCTGCCGTTGCGCAGCGGTGATGGCGTTTGTGGGGGCGCAGGTTTCCGGGGTGCAGGTCTCACCTCGGTCCCACTTTTCGACATGGGGTCGGGGTCCAGAGGGAGACCAGAGAGTGGTATAGAGCCCATTTGCATGACTTTCTTTTCTTTTCACTTGTTACTATTGTTGTTTTGATCTTGGGGCCACACCCAGCAGTGCTCAGGGCAGACTCCTGACTCTGTGCTCAGGAGTCATTCCTGGTAGGGCTCGGGGCGCCCTATGGGGTTCCGGGGATTGAACGCGGGTCAGCCATATGCAAGGCAAGTGCCCTCGCCACTGTACTGTCTCCCCCACCCCTCATAGTCATTACTTACTTTTCATGGATTTGCTTGAGTGGGCACCAGCAACGTCTCTATTGTGAGGCTTATTGTTACTGTTTTTGCATATCGAATACGTCACGGATGGCTTGCCAGGCTTTGCCGTGTGGACGGGATACTTTCGTAGCTTGCTGGGCTCTCCGAGAGGGGCGGAGGAATCCAACAGGGGTCGGCCTGGCAGCCGCTTGCAAGGCAAACACCCTACCTGCTGGGCTATGGCTCCAGCCCACTTTAAGATCATGTTTTTGAAAGGGACACTCCTGCCAATGTGGTTAGGGTCACATCAGGAGGTACCAAGCTACGTGGGGGTAGAGAGGTACTGAAACCCACCCACCCGACCACATTCCCTCCACATGGGTTCCAGCAGGTGCTTTGAGAGATCTCCCAGGTACCCCCTTTCCACAATCTTTTTTTTTTTAAGCTTTTTGGGCCACATCTGGGGATGCTCAGGGGTTACTCCTGGCTCTGCATTCAGGAACTATTCCTGACGGTGCTCAGTGCTTCAATCAGGGTCGGCTGCTTGCAAAGGCTGTCCTGTCGCTCCTGTCCCTTTCCACGATATTAGCTGGACCAGGGGAGCATTGTCCAGCAGTTAGGCTGCAACGGAGTCTGTGGAACCCTTTCTCCTCCTCCCCTCACTGAATCTCCACAGAAACCTACACCCTCATTTTCCAGATGAGGAAGCAGGAGGAATGGAGGATTCTGGGGGAACCTAACACTTCCCCTCACCCCCCACCCTGCATATTGCACCATTCACTTCTGTCTCTCCAGGTCTGTATTATTGGGCAACCCCTGATCACTCTTGGGAAGTCCAGCAGGGCTGAGCTCTGGCCCCAGGAAAAGTGCTCAAGCTGGGGCCCAGAGCACAGAGGGGAGGGCGTTAGCCTTGCTTTGATTCCCACCCCTCGTCCCCGCCTTGCCCCTCCCCAGCACTGCCAGGAGTGATTCCTGGGTGCAGAACAAGGAGTAACCTCTGAGAACCACTGGTTATGACCCCCACCAAAAAAATAAAATTAAGCCCTGAACTGGACTGGGGGTGGCATAGGGAGATGCTGGTTATGGGGGGGGGGGCTCCACAGGACCTGGGTGGAGGGTGTTAGAGGCAGGACAAAATTCAGGAAGATGTTGAATGCAATCTAAGGGCTTCATTATTATGATGATGATGGTGGTTTGTCTTGGGGCCACACCTGGTGTTGTCCAGGGTTTACTCTTGTCTCTGTGCTCAGGCGTCAGACCTGGCGGGGCTGGATGGAATCTGGGTGAGCTGTCAGCACCCTAACCCCTGTCCTGTCCCTCTGCCCCCAGGATTTTATTTTTCCGTCCTGTTTGTGATGTGCCCATGCCCATATCGAAGTGTGAGCCCAGCCGGTCACCTGCCCTGGACTCTTGACAGATCACCGCTGTCTTTCAATGGCTACAGCCTCGGCTTCTCCAAGTCCCAGATGGCGAAACTGAGGCCAGGCATGGCTCAGTGACTGGCCTGAGTTGGCCCAGGGGGCGCCAGGGCCTGGGTGTGCTGGTCCACGCATCCATGCCCGGCAGCCTCGGGGAGGTTTGTTCAGAGCAGCACCTGTGCTGGGGCATTTCTCTAAGTGACGGGCTGGTGTGATTGTGTGGGCGGGAAGGTCACCGTGCTCTCGCGAGGGCTTCCACCTGAGCCCCGAGGCCCAGTGGCTTGTCCCTTTGCAGCCAGGCCAGCGCTCTGGACCATGCCCGTGTGCCCCTGGGTTGCCAACGGCAGGGGCCGCCGGCGCAATGGGGATGGGGGGCAGCCCGAGGCCAGCAGAGATGGCCTGAAGGTGCTTCTGCACTGGGCCGGCCCCGGCGGCGGGGACCCCTGGGCCACCTTCAATGACAGCACCCTGACTGCGGAGGAGGTCTGCATCCATGTCGCCCAGAAACTCGGTGAGACCAGGGATGTGGGAGCATCTGGACCCCACTCGCTATCCACCTGTCTGTCTGTCCATCCATCTGTCCATCCGCCCATCCATCTGTCTGTCCAACCAGATAACTGTCTGTCCATTCTTCTCCCTGTCCATCCATCTGTCCCCCCTTCCATCTATCAATCTGCCCATCTATCCATCCATCCTCCAGTCCGTCTTTTCATCCATCCGTCCACCATCCATCCATCTATCCACCCTCTATCCAACTGTTCATCATCCATCCATCCATCCATCCACTTGTCTTCATGTCCATCCATCCATCTATCCAACTGTCCACCCTTCCATCCACCCATCTCTCCATCTACCATCCATCCAACTTCCATCCTTCTACCTACCCGTCCATCCATCCATCTATCCATCTGTCCATCCGTCTGTCCATCCATCCATCTGTCTTCCTGTCCATCCATCCGCCATCCACCCATCCACTCATCCGTCCGTCCGTCCGCCTACCATCCACCCATCCATCTGTCCATCTTTCTACCTGTCCATCCATCCCTCCGCTCGCCTGCCCGGCCCTGACCTCTCGACCCCCTGCAGGCATCACTCCTCCTTGCTTCAGTCTCTTCGCGCTCTTCGATGCCCAGGCCCACGTCTGGCTGCCCCCGAACCACGTTTTGGAGGTCTCCCGGGCTGCCCCGCGCACGCTGTACTTCCGCATGAGGTGGGGGAAGCTGGTATTCCCTGGGCCTCTGTGCCGTCCTGCCCCTCGGATCCTCCCGTGTCCTAGCCATGTGCCACCCCTGCAGGTTTTATTTCCGGAACTGGCACGGCCTGAACCCCCAGGAGCCCACGGTGTTCCGCTGCGGGCCCCCAGGCAGCGAGGCGTCCTCAGCCGAGGCCCAGCAGGGTTTGCCTCTCCTGGACGCGGCCTCCTTCGAGTACCTCTTCGAGCAGGTGGGTACTGGGCGGGGAGAGCCTGGGCCCCACTGAAGGTCCCCTGGCCCCACTTCCTGCCATCAAGGGTCCAGGCCATGCCTGAACCAAAGGGTCCTGGGAGCGATGGGAAAGCCGGAGTGAAGGGGGCTGGAGAGTACAGTGGGCAGGGCGCTGGCCCAGCATGTGGTAACCTGGGTTCAAGTCCTGGCACTGCAAAGAGTCCCTGGAGCCTGCCAGGAGTCAGCCCTGTGCACCACTTAATGTCCCTCATCCCTCAAAAACACAGGTGCTCCACTCCTGAGCCCAAGCCCCCACCCTCATTTTGTTTTTGGTTCAATTTATTGATGTGGGGCCACACCCTGCTGTGCTCAGGGCTTTCTACCAACTCTTCTCAGGGGTCACCCCAGGAACCGTGTGCTAGGCCAGAGATTGAACCAGGCTCAACAGTTTAAGGCAAGCACCTTAGCCCTCATTCTGTCTTTCCAGCTCTGGCCCTCTTTCTTATCTATTTTTGTTTGTTTTTGGCCCCTCCTGGTGATTCAGAGCCTACTCCTGGCTCTGTGCTTAGGGCTCGCGTCCAGTAGTGCTCAAAGAACCGCAGTGCTGAAGATTGGAGATCCAACCCAGACCTCCCATATGCAAAGCCTGTGCACTGCCCATTGAGCAACCTCTTTGGCCCCCATGGAGTCTTTATTCTTGTAGCCTATCCCAGTGTGCCATATGTCAATGACCCCTCTCTGTGCCTTTCTGCCCCATCCTCTGTCCGTAGGGCAAGCACGAGTTTGTGAATGATGTGGTGTCTCTGGGGGAGCTGTCCACAGAGGAAGAGATCCATCACTTCAAGAATGAGAGTCTGGGCATGGCCTCTCTGCACCTGTGCCAGCTGGCACTCCGCCGGGGGGTCCCCTTGGAGGAAGTGGCCAGGAACATCAGGTGCCTGGAACGAAGGGGGGGGTGGTGCCCAGGGCTATTGCTCTGCCCGTGTCCATCCCATAAACACAATCTGTCTGCAGGCACTAGTTTTGGAGGTGCTCGCACTGGTTCTGGGGATGCACTGAAGTGGTACAGGAGGTAGCTAAGTCTTGATACATATATAAAAGACAAAAAAGCCTTCACTTGCCTTGCATGCAGCAGACACAGGTTCAAACCCTGGCATCCCACAGGGTCCCCCGAGCACCACCAGCCATAATTCCTGAGCGCAGAGTAACTCCTGAGCATTGTTTGGTGCAGCCAAGCCCCCCCCACCCCCATATCAAAGGGAACTCCAGAAACTGAAGTTACAGCCACAGAGGAAGAGATCATCACTTTCCCGTCACCACCAGCTGCCCTTTACCACGGCTACTGGTGTGTGTGTGTGGGGGGGGGGGGTTGGCATTTGAGGTTCAGAGAGGTTAAGCCACTGGTCTCAGGATGCCCAGCAAGGCAGCCCCCCCCCCCCCCCCCACTGACCCGCTGCCCTCCGCAGCTTCAAGGAGTGTATCCCGCGCTCCTTCCGCCAGCAGATCCGCCAGCACAACGCGCTGACGCGGCTGCGCCTGCGGACCATCTTCCACCGCTTCCTGCGCACCTTCCAGCCCGGCCGCCTCAGCCCGCACCTGGTCATGGTCAAGTACCTGGCCACGCTCGAGCGGATGGCGCCCCGGTTCGGCGCCGAGCGCGTGCCCGTGTGCCGCCTGCGCCTGCAGGCTCAGGCCACCCCGCCCGAGCCCGAACCGCAGTCGGACCCCGGACCACCGACCCACGAGGTGCAGGTGTCCGGCACGCGGGGCCTCCAGTGGCGGCCAGTGCCCGCAGCGGTGAGCAGACGCCTCTTCCACCGGGGCCCGGGAGGGGGCGCTCGTGCTCAGCTTGGCCCTTTGCTGCTGCTGCCTGCTTGGCAGGGTGGGGGTGGGGGTGCGTCTGGGGAGCGCTCTGTCGCCTGCAACTCTGGGGAATATGGCCTTGGGGGGCGTTCATCGGTCTGGGGAAGCCAGCTGTCTTCTGGCTTGGAGGCCCCCCACTCCGTGATGCTGGAGGGATACAGATCTGTGCTCCAGGAGATGGCAGGGATAGAACCCCGGCCCCCGCTTGCATAACGTTTGTCCACTTCGTCCTGTTTTGGTTTAGGGGTCACTACCTGGGGGTATTCGGCAGGATCCTGCACCCCTCTGGTGCAGTGTTGTGGGGAGGGGGGACAGAAGGGGCGGTTCACACCCAGTGGTGCTCAGGACTGACTCCTGGCTCTGTGCTCAGGGGTCTGGGGACCCTCTGCGATGCTGGGATGGAGCCACGTACAAGGCAGTGCCCTTCCTACTGTCTTATCACTCTGGCCTCAGGGCTATTTCGCCAATCCTCTTTTCTCCTTTCCTTTTTATTTCTTTTTTTCTTTTTGGGTCACACCTGGCAATGCACAGGGATTACTCCTGGCTCTGCACTCAGGAATTTCTCCTGGCGGTTCTCGGGGGACCAAATGGGATGCTGGGAATTGAACCCAGGTCGGTCGCGTGCAGGCAGACACCCTACCCGCTGTGCTTTTGCTCCAGCCCCTTCTCCTTTCCTTTTTACTCGCTCCCTTCTTTTTGACTTCTTTCCCGTTGCCTGCCCTTTGGGGTGAGTTCCAGGGTTCTCCACTTTTCTCTGGGGCCCAGCTTCTGTCCTGTATGATGGTGGGGGGTAGTACCTGCCCCCAAACTCCCCCTCTCCCAGGGGCTGTGTAGGGGATTAGCCAGGCACAGCCCTGCTTCATTCACCGACCACATGTGCCGGTTTCCAGGGTCCCAGTGATGATGGCGGCGGTGCTGACAGTGATGGGGAACCCCAAGCTGACCCATCTAAGAAGAAAGCCAAGGCCCAGGGGGTGGACAGACCCCGCGAGACACCCTGGGTCTATTTCTGCGACTTCCAAGATGTCACGCACGTGGTTCTGAAAGAGCATAACATCAGCATCCACTGTCAGGACAAGTGCCTGGTAGGGCCTGGGGTGAGGGGATTGGGATGCCTCTGGGACACCCCATGCCTGCCTCACATCTCCCACCCCCTGCAGGAGCTGACGCTTCCTTCCCGGCCCGCCGCCCTGTCCTTGGTGGCCCTGGTGGACGGCTACTTCCGCCTCACGTCTGACTCAAGCCACTACCTGTGCCATGAAGTGGCTCCCCCGCGGCTGGTGATGAGTATCCAGGAGGGGGTACACGGGCCCCTGCTGTGAGTTCCGGGAAGGGGGGCTTGGGGATGTGCACTGCAGTTGCTGATCAGGCTGGGAGCTTGGGGCACTGCATGGCTCGAATGAGCCGCGTGTGCATGCATGCCCGTCTTCCCATCTGTGTCGTGTGCTTGCTCCCGTGTGGGTACATGCACGCTCTTCTGCATGCGCACTCCTGTGTGTGTGCTGGGGGTGGGGGCCAGCTCCTGTGCACGTGTCTTGGCATGCAGGTGCCTTGGGCTGGCCCCCGGGTCCGTGCACTCGTGGCCTTGCTGATGTGCCTGTGCGTGAGTGTGTGCCACTGGGTCAAGGGTGGGGCACGAATATGCGCCGGCTTGGTGCATGTGGTGGCCCCAGGGATCAAACCCATGACCTACTGTTTGTGAGGCAGCTGCTTGCTCCTGGGGTCTGGGATTTTATGTCCTGGTACCCTCCCCTCTGCCCGATGCCGTGCCCTAACAGGGGCCTCCCCTCTGCCCCACAGGGACACCTTTGTGTTGGCAAAGCTGCAGCCAGAAGATGGGCTTTACCTCATCCACTGGAGCTGCCACCACTTCCACCGCCTCATTCTCACGGTGGCCCAGAGGGACGAGGTGGGCTTGGGGTGGGGGTCCTGGGCTGGGACTGCTTGTACTCCCTGCCTGGACCCCTGCCCACCGCCCCCCATCTTCCGCAGGCCTCTGACGGTGGTGCCAGAAGCTGGCGGCTGCGCAAGTTCCCCATCCAGCTGCAGCCAGGGGCTTTCACCCTGGAAGGCTGGGGCCGCACCTTTGCCAGTGTGGCGGAGCTGCGAGCCGCCTTGCAGAGCTGTGCCCTACGGGCCGGCCCTGATTCCTTCATGCTGCGCCGCTGCTGCCCACCACGACCTGGAGGTAGCCTCGGGCTTCTGGGTTTGGGGTGGGGGGACGCACATCACTTGCTACTCAGCGACCCTCCACCTGCCTGCCCCCGCAGAGATCTCCAACCTCATCATCCTGCGGGGCTCCCAGGCCAGCCCCCGGCCTCTCAACCTCAGCCAGCTCAGCTTCCATCAGATCAGCCAGGACGCGATCACCCGGGTGGGTGCAGGCTTGGGAGGGGGGTCCTGGAGGAAGGAGGTGACGTGGGGGGAGGGCTGTGTCATCCCCGAGATGACGTGTGCCATGTTCCCCCCACTCCCCCTCCCCAGCTCTCCCACTTGGGCCAGGGCACCAGGACCAACGTGTATGAGGGTGTCTTGCGCGTGGCCGGAGGAGACCAGGAGGAGGACAAGAGCGATGATGAGGGCTGTGGGCAGGAGCTCCGAGTGGTGCTCAAGGTGCTGGACCCTGGCCACCAGAACATCTCCCTGGTGAGGAGCCAGCTGGGCTGGGAGCGGGGCAGGAGGTGGGGTGGGGCCAGGACCGGCTGACTGGAGGGAGGCTTGGTGGCAAGGGGGGTGGGACAGGAAGAGGCGGGGCCTGTCGGTAGGGGCGGGATGTGGTTGGCAGGGGCAGAACAGGAAGGGCGGGGCCTATCAGTAGGGGCGGAGTTTCAGGACACTGGGCAGTCCGGCTTGGAAAGGGCGGGGTCTGGTGAGGGGGCAGGGCCATGGCTATATGGGCTGGCAGGGCCGGAAGGGGCGGGACCTATCAGTAGGGGCGGGGCTGTGGGCAGGGCTGGAAGGGCGGAGTCTCAGTAGGGGCGGGGTTTGGGCAGGGTTGGCAGGGCGGAGCCTATTGTTAGGGTCTGGACAGGGGCTGGCCCAGTGGCTGGACCTACTGCCCCCTCACCAGCCATTCCTCCCAGGCCTTCTACGAGACCGCCAGTCTCATGAGCCAGGTGTCCCACATGCACCTGGCCTTTCTGCACGGCGTCTGCGTTCACGGCTCGGAGAGTGAGTGGTCTGTCCGCCCTCATCCCAAGGGTCTAAGTGTCCTCTAAGGGTCCTCACTGGCTGGGCAGACCCAGGCTGCTGACCACAGGGCCCTCTGAACCCCACTCCCCCAGTTCTGACCCACCTTTTACCAGCCAGCCCCTCATGCCCTGCAAAGACTTCCCATTCTCCCTGCACCCTGATCCCTGGCTCCCCCCACCCCTCAACCTTCACACTGACTCTTCATCCAGCCCCCAGATCCCGCTCCAGCACTTGCCCTCCAGGGGTACCCGTACCCCAACCTTCAGTCCCTACTCCCCACCCTCCTAACTCCTGGTATGCAGGGTGAGCCCTGCTGCCGATCTCAGCCCATTTCCATCTCCATCCTCCCTTCAGTAATGTGGGTCCCGGGATTCACCTTTTCCCTACCTTCTAGCCACACAGCCCCTCTTTGTGTGCACCCTCTGCTCCTCAGGGCCAGCCATGTTGCTGTCACTCATATCAGCCTTTCGGGGCTGTCCCAGGCCCAGCACTAGACCCTCCTCTCCCTAGTCACTCCTTGCCCGCCCCCAGTCTCCTGCCCCCAGCCCTGTCCAGGCAGGCAGATGTCCCCTGCAGTGTCTGGTCTCCCGTAGGCACCATGGTGACTGAGTATGTGGAACATGGGCCCCTGGACGTGTGGCTGCGGCGGGAGAGGGGCCACGTGCCCGTGGCCTGGAAAGTGGCCGTGACCCAGCAGCTGGCCAGTGCCCTCAGCTACTTGGTGCGTGGCCCGGGGTGCAGGGGGGCTGCTTCCCTCACAGGTGGTGACCCTGGCCCCTTTGCCTGACCTCCTGGATGGCGCCCTGCCCCCACTTCCTCCTGGCAAACACCTGCTACCTTGGCCACACCCATATTGGGGCGCCTGCAGCGGACTTGCCCCCCTCTGCCCTACCTCAGGAAGACAAGAGACTCGCCCACGGGAATGTGTGTGGCCGGAACATTCTGCTGGCACGGCCGGGGCTAGCGGAAGGCAGCAACCCTTTCATTAAGCTGAGTGACCCCGGCGTGGGCCTGGGTGCCCTCTCCCGCGAGGGTGAGGACATGGTGGGGAGAGGGGTGGATGGGTAGGGATGGCTACCCACATTGCTTTTGCCCACGTGACCTCTGACCTTCCCCCCCCAGAGCGGGTGGAACGCATCCCCTGGACAGCCCCTGAGTGCCTGTCTGGGGGCACCGGCAGCCTCAGCACAGCAGCTGACAAGTGGGGCTTCGGGGCCACCGTCCTCGAGATCTGCTTTGATGGGGAGGTTCTCCTGCAGGGCCGCAGCCCCTCGGAGGTAGGAATGGGGACCCCTTGGGCTCTTCCCACAAAGGGACTTTCACCTAGAGGGGTGAGCTTAGGATCCAGCACTGCGGCTGCTTCCTCTCTGATGGGGCCTCACTTCATCACTTGTATTTTGGGGGACCAGCAGGTCATTTGTCAGTGAGGGTCAGTGACCACATCAAAGCAGATAGGCAGAGACCAGGTCAGGGATGGGGGAGCACCTGCCGTGGGGTTCTGGGACCCCCCCCAAGACATCTCTGACCCAGCTGAATGCTTCCCCAAGGCAGTTTATTTCATTTTTTCTTTGAGGGGGTAGACCTCACAGAGCAGTGCTCAATGCTGACTCCTGGCTTTGTGCTTAGGGGTCTTTCTTGGCAGGGCTCAAGGGGAGCCTAGGTGGTGCCAGGTAAGGAACTGGGGCGGCTGAGGTGGCCCCTGCAGGGCAAACACTGTACCCTGCTGTGCTCTCTCCCTGGCTCCCAGAGACGATTTTCTGTTTGTTTTGGGGGGCATAGCTGGCAGTGCTGAGTACTTACTCCTGCCTCTGCATTCAGGAATTTCTCCTGGCCATGCCTGGAGACCATATGGGATGCTAGGGATCGAACCTGGGTCGGCCCCTTCCCAGAGGTGATTTTTGTTTTGTTTTGTTTTGTTGTTTTTTTCTTTTGGGGTCACACCCAGCGATGCTCAGGGGTTCCTCCTGGCTCTGCACTCAGGAATTACTCCTGGCGGTGCTCGGGGAACCATATGGGATGCTGGGAATCGAACCCGGGTTGGCCGTGTGCAAGGCAAATACCCTACCCGCTGTACTATCGCTCCAGCCCCCCAGAGGTGGACACTTTTAATATAAGTGTCTGCCCAAGAGGTAAGAGATAGAACTTGCACACAGCCGACCTCGGTTCAATCCCTGGCATCCCATAGGGTCCTCCGAGTCCTGCCAGGAGTAGTTCCTGAGTGTAGAGTTAGGAGTAACCCCTGAGCATTGCCAGATGTGGCCCCCAAATGAAAAATAAAAATAGATAAAATGAGGGTGAAGTGCAGAGCCCTAGCAGGAGCTGTGGACTTCACTCTCTCCGAAAAGGGCTGGGATCACTGACTCTCGTGGGGTCCCCATTCTCGCAGAAAGAGCGTTTCTACCAGAAGCAGCATCGCCTTCCCGAGCCCGCATGCCCGGAGCTGGCCACACTCATCAACCAGTGCCTGAACTACGAGCCGGCCCAGCGTCCCTCTTTCCGCACCATCCTCCGGGATCTTACTCAGCTGCAGCCACAGAGTGAGTTCGGCCACCCCCAGCACCCCGCGCTGAGATGCTGGGGGCACGGCCTGGTTTCAGTGAGGTCCTCCAGGCACTGGGGACCAGAAATGGAATTTTCGACCTGCCAGGTGATGGGGATGGGGGGCAAGATGTGTGTGTGGAATTTGGAAATCTGGCCTCACACACTGGACTCTTCCAGATCTTGTTAATGTCCTGACTGTGAACCCGGAATCCCCCACCGCCGACCCCACGATTTTCCACAAACGCTACTTGAAAAAGATTCGGGATCTAGGCGAGGTGAGGGGCATGGTCTCTACAGGGGGCGGGGCCTTGGCTGAGTTGGGAGGTAGTTCTATGTAAAGGTAAAAAGGTAAAGGTAAAGGCCCTCCCGTTGATCGTCGATTTGCTCGAGCGGGCCCAGTAACGTCTCCATTGGAGACTTTGTTGTTACTGTGTTTGGCATATCGAATACGTCACGGGGAGCTTGCCAGGCCCTGCCGTGCGGGCGAGATACTCTTGGTAGCTTGCCGGGCTACTGGTGATTTTTCTGGGATATGGAAGGTCCTCAAGTTCCAAGCAGGCTCTAAAAATTGGAAGGGTCACCTCGGTCTTTCATAGCCCCACCATCACAGTCAGTAAGACCTACGATTTTCCAGACCAACCTGTCATGGGCCGTGACTTACTGTGGCTCTCATGTGAGGCCCGAGGTTTGCTCCTTAGCCAGAAAAAAAAAAAAAATGAACCCAACCAACCTGCATGGAAGCTGAACCCAAAGGAGGCAGGTGGGGGCTGACGCTTCTGCTCTCTGACCAGGGTCATTTTGGCAAAGTCACCCTCTACTGCTATGACCCGACCAACGATGGCACTGGCGAGATGGTGGCCGTGAAAGCCCTCAAAGCGGACTGTGGCCCCCAGCTCCGCACAGGCTGGCGGCGGGAGATTGACATCCTGCGCACGCTGTACCACGAGCACATAGTCAAATACAAGGGCTGCTGTGAGGACCAAGGTGGGCGGGTCCTGGTGCGACCACACCCCTCCGGGTGGGCGTGGCCACGCAGGGGGCGGAGTCGGCTGCTGGACTTCCTAGCTGTTAGGGGGCGCCCTGGTGGACCAGAATGGGTGGGAGCCCCGTCAACTCTGCCCTTGGGGAGGGGAGTCCACTCCTGCCGCTGACCCTCAGACGGGCTGCCCCTCCACACACAAGGGTCCCTACCTCTGTTGCTTGCACGGCTCTCCCCTCTCCCTTCTCAGGCGAGAAGTCAGTACAGCTCGTAATGGAGTACGTACCCCAGGGCAGCCTCCGGGACTACCTGCCGAGACACAGTGTCGGGCTGGCCCAGCTGCTGCTCTTTGCCCAGCAGATCTGCGAGGTGGGCTGTGCTCACAACCTGCACCCCCCATGTCTTTGGCCTCGCTCAGCCCTGCCCCAGGGCGGGCTCTCCTCGCCCTAGTCCAATCCTCGGCCCGCCCCGCCCGCGCCCAGCCTGCTATTGGCTCCTCGCGCCTGGCCCCGCCCCTTGGCCGTAGCCCCGCCCCCTCTAGGTTCCTTTCGGGCCTTCGGAGGACCGGACCTCAGCCACGCCCCCTGGCCTGGAGCATCGCTCCGGCTTTGGGGGTTCGCTCCGTTTTGCTGCCATCCCGCTGGCCCCCCAGCTGAGCTGCCCCCACACCCTCCCCGTCCTGCGGGGCCTCTCAGGCGCTGCCCCGTCCACTGATGCGCCCCACCCCTCCAGGGCATGGCCTACCTACATTCGCAGCACTACGTGCACCGAGACCTGGCCGCGCGCAATGTGCTGCTTGACAACGAGAGGCTGGTCAAGATCGGGGACTTTGGCCTGGCCAAGGCCGTGCCCGAAGGCCACGAGTACTACCGCGTGCGCGAGGATGGGGACAGCCCCGTGTTCTGGTGACCAGGCGGGACCCAGCCGGAGGGGGGCGCCCAGGTCACTTGGAGTAGACAGGGTGGAGACAGAGGCTGGGGTCTCCTATGCCATGGGTGACGGCCAGTGAAGCCGGCCTCCCCTTCCCACCTGGCACAGGACAGGGCCCTCCCTGGGGCCAGAGAGAGCCTTCATTTCCAGATGCAGGTGTCAGCCTGGGCTGGCTGCGCCCTGAGTGTCCCCCGCCCACAGGTATGCCCCCGAATGCCTGAAGGAGTGTAAGTTCTACTATGCATCCGACGTCTGGTCCTTTGGGGTCACCTTGTATGAGCTGCTGACACATTGTGATTCCAGACAGAGCCCCCCATTGGTGAGAGCCCAGCTGATTTCTACCCCGGATTGGAGAGTTAGAAATGCAGGGCGCAGAGAGGTAGTGCAGTGGGTAGGGTGCTTGCCTTGCAATGCAGCTGGCCTAGGTTTGATCCCAGCACCCCTTCTGCCCAAGCCTCATCAGGTGTAATCCCTGAGCAAAGAGCCAGGAGTAAGACCTGGCTTACTGTAGCATATGTCCCCTCCCCAAGAAGACAAGAATCAAACATATAGCTGCAAACTCCTGGTTCAGGCTCTCAGCCTGGGTAGGAGTTATGTAACTTTCACCAATAAGGCTGCTCTCTGCAACGATGTTGTTATGACCCCATTTTACAGAGAAGGAAACTGAGGAAGCAAACCCTAGGGGGAGGGTCCGAGGCAGTTAAAAAAATATATATATATAAGCCTGTGTGCAGTTGAGAGGCCATGGAAGAAGAAGACAGACCTCCCTTCTTAAGATGAGCTTGACTTGTTTCTCCTGTAGAAATTCATCGAACTCATCGGCCTCACCCAGGGCCAGATGACTGTGCTGCGGCTCACAGAACTCCTGGAACTGGGCCAGAGGCTGCCACGGCCGGAGAAGTGTCCTTATGAGGTGATGTCATCCTTTTCGCTTATGGGAGTGAGGGGTCCTGGCAGGACTCGGTAGAACAAATGCAGTGCCAGGGATTAAACCCATGTTGGCTGCCTGCAAGGCAAGGTGCATGATCTGCTGCACTGTCTTGGGCTCCCTTTTATTTTATTTTTTATTTTTTATATTTTTTGCTTTTGGGGTCACATTGATGATGCTCAGAACTTACTCCTGGCTCTGCACTCAAGAATTACTCCTGGCGGTGCTTGGGGGACCCTATGGGATGCTGGGAATCGAACCTGGGTCGGCCACATGCAAGGCAAATGCCCTACCTGCTGTGTTATCGCTCCAGCCCCTCTTTTTATTTTATTCATTTATTTAGGGGGCCTACCAGAGTTCGATTCCTCCGCCCCTCTCGGAGAGCCCGGCAAGCTACCGAGAGTATTCGATATGCCAGACACAGTAACAACAAAGTCTCCAATGGAGACGTTACTGGGCCCGCTCGAGCAAATCGATGATCAACGGGAGGGCCTTTACCTTTACCTTTATTTAGGGGGCAGGGAGGCCACACCCGACAATACTCAGGGGTTACTTCTGGCTCTGCACTCAGATATCACTCCGGGCAAAGCCCAGGGTACCAGAGTACCATTGTGGAATGCCAGAGATCGAACCTGGGTCAGCCTCTTGCAAGGCAAATGCCCTTTCTGCTGTGCTGTCTCTCTGGCCCCTTATTTTACTGTATTTTAGTGGTTTTTTTGGGGGGGGTGGGGAGGGGTCACTCAGGGTTTACTCATGGCTCTGTGCTCAGGCATCTCCTGGTTAGACTTGGGGATGAGGGACTCTATGGTGCCCAGGACACACTTTTGGCTCAGGATTTGGGCATCGCTGCTGGTAATGTTTGAGGTACCCTGAGATGGCAAACATCCATCCCAGGGTTCCAGCATGGCCCAGCAGACCCTCCCCGTTAGCCCTTCAAGACTCCTCAGACTCCCCCACAGCGGATGTTGAGCCACCCCCTTCCCGTTTCCTCCCCCAGATCTACCATCTCATGAAGAACTGCTGGGAGACGGGTGCGTCGTTCCGCCCCACCTTCCAGAACCTCATCCCCATCCTCAAGGCAGCCCAGGAGAAGTACCAGGGCCAGGCCCCGTCCGTGTTCAGCGGCTCCTGAGCAGGGAGGGAGGGGAGGGGAGCATCTGGTACCCCACCCTACCCCAGGAGAAGCCAGACCCATGTTTTGGGGACCCCTTTCTAGAGGGAGCTGATCCCCAAGTGTCTCCTGCAGTGACAGATACTGTGTACCCCAGGAGCTGCCATGGTGGGGGAAGGGATTTCTCCCTGCATGGGGGCCTGGGAGCGAGTTGGGGGTCTTCCTGCCAGGGGAGAGCTCTCTCTGCAGCCTTGCTTTGTGGTTGCTTGGGGTTGTTTTTTTTTTGGGGGGGGGTGATTGGGGCATACTCATCAATGCCCAAAGACTACTCCTAACTTCGTATTTCTTTTCCTTTGCGGGCCATAGCTACCAGGGTTTACTCCTGATTCTGTGCTCAGGGATTACTCCTGGTGGGGCTCAGGGGACCGTTTGGGATGCTGGGGCTGCATCTGGGGCCAGCGCCCTGCACTATTGCTAAGCCCCCTGGGGCCATTCCTAACGTGCCTAACTTCCCCAGTTGTTCTCTCAGTATTGTGCGTGTGACTGTGTACAACACATTCCAATAAAAAGCCAAACAAGTCATAACATGTATGAGATGATTCCCTTTCTTTGTTTCTTTATTCGGTTTTTGGGCTACACCAGGTGGTGATTGCACTCAGGAATCACTCCCAGCGGTGCTCCGGGGACCCTATGGGACGTCAGAGATTGAAGCTAGGTTCAATCTTGTATGCAAAGCGGCATCAGGGGGCTGGAGCAATAGCACAGCGGGTAGGGCGTTTGCCTTGCACACGGCCGACCAGGGTTTGATTCCTAGCATCCCATGTGGTCCCCTGAGCACCACCAGGGGTAATTCCTGAGTGCAAAGCCTGGAGCAACCCCTGTGCATCACCAAGTGTGACCCAAAAAGCAAAAAAAAAAAAAAAAGCCAGCATCAGCTCCTGGAGCCACTTTCCAATCCCTGAATTTTCTTTCTTTTTAACATTTTTTAAAATTTTTTATTTAAAAATTTAATTTTTATAAAATTGTTCACAATAGTTTATTACATTCAATATTTCAACATCAATCCCACCTCCATTACCACCATTATTATTATATTTTTTATTTATTGAATCACCGTGAGAACAGCCACAAAGCCTTTCAGTTTAAGTCTCGTTTGTTCATACAATGATCCAACACCCATCCCTTCATCAGTGCACATTTTCCACCACCAAGAACCCCAGTATAACCCCCCTCCCAGTCCTACCCCTGCCTGCATGACAGATTTTCACTTTACTCTCTACGTTGATCACATTCAATATTACAACAGAAGACCCACCATTATTATTTGGAATTTTCCCCAACAATCAGACCTGCCAAAAAGACATCATTAGATAATTTGTTTTCTATTGCTGATTATGAAGAGCGTATGATGTCGTGCGGCTGCTATCACGGCCACGCGATTTTGGATTTCTGATATTTTAGTAATAAGTCTGGAGAGATTACTGCCAAAATCTGCTGGGTTCTTGGTTGGTTTGTGTGCCTCTGGGATCATGGTCATTCAAGAGCCATAGGAGGCGTTTGTGGGCGGCAACTTGGGGCCTTGTCAGGGCAGGGAGCAGGGCCGGTTCCTCCCCCCCTCCCATGAGGCCCCACCTGCCTCATCACTGCAGTCTCATACCTGGCTGTCCATTAGGCTCTGAAAGATGGTGGCCACCAGGCCGCCACTGCCAGGAGGAAAAGGAGGAGGGACAAAGACCCTTCCCCTCCCAGGGCGGCATGGCGCCATAGTTTGATGCACAGTCCAGATGCATTTCTGTTGGGCATTATATTTTGCTCGAATTTTCTCGCCACCACTCAAGCCTGCCTTCCAGGGACAGATGCTAGGTCATTTGCTTTCCATTGCTCACTTTGCATATCAAGTGGCCGAGCAGTTCGGAAGAAGAGTCCTGGTGCCTACATACCAGAGCCATGCTTGTAGGAGCTCATGGTTGCCGGGATTCAATCCACCACCATTATTTTATTTTGAATTTTCTTACCACCCCCCAAGCCTGCCCCAAAGGCACATGCTACATCATTTATTTTGTATTGCTTATTATTAATAATCGACTGAAAATGATCTAAAAAGTTTTCCTTAGAGGAAAATGTGTGAAAATTGTTTTATCTTACCTTGGAGCCATTATGCCGCTGTATAAGGGAACACTAACATGTGGATACAAATTAAGCCTTGTGTGCTAATATATATCTATATCTATAGCTATATATTTGGTCAAGATGGTTGCCTTTGGAGCTGGAGCAATAGTACAGTGGGTAGGGCATTTGCCTTGCACACAGCCGACCCAGGTTCGATTCCTAGCATCCTGTATGGTCCCCTGAGCACCACTAGGAATGATTCCTGAGTGCAGAGCCAGGAGTAACCCCTGTGCATTGCTGGGTGTGACCAAAAAAAAAAAAAAGATGGTTGCCTTCTGCCTTATACCACATCAAATGTGGTGTGCTAACTCTTTTCTTTTTGGGTCATACCGATGATGCTCAGGGGTTACTCCTGGCTCTGCACTCAGGAATTACTTCCTGGTGGTGCTTGGGGGACCATATGGGATGCTACTCTTTGAATATCAGTGGCACAAACTATGAGATGGTGCTGCTTTCATGGCCGTGTGCTCCAGGAATTCTAAAAATTTAAATAGGGTGCTACAGCTGGAGTTAAAATTTTAACTGGATGGTCATTTTGGGGTCTAGAGGCGTCTCTGCAGTGTGTCTGGATTTTCTTCCTTTCTTTTCTTTTGTATTCTTTATGCTAAACCCAGCAGTGCTCAGAGAGCAGTGCTCAGGGTCAGCCCCAAACAGAACAAGTGCCTTCTTAACCCTGCACTAGCACTCTGGCCCTCGGCTGCTTTCTTTCCTTGATTACATTTTTGTTTCTTTAGTTTTTGGTTTTGGACCTTACCCCGCGGACTCCTGGCTCTGTGCTCAAGGATCAGCCCTGGGGAGGCTCTGGGGACGCTTTGGATTGCTGTGGATCAGACCCACCTCGGCCGCCCTCTGGGACGGGAAGGGGCCCTGCAGCTGGAGTGTGGCCCCGCCCCTTTGCCACTACTCTCAGCCACGCCCCATAGGGGCTGGGCTTTGGGGGGAAGATCAGCCAGGTGAGACCTGTTTTCTAACCACCACCCCCCACCCCGCCAGCTGCTGCCTCCTCTTCTATACCCCTTTACCGTCCCACTCATCTGTGGAGGAAACATCTGTGGCTGTTTGTCTATAGATTTTTTTTTTGACTTTTTGGCTTTTTGAGATGCTCAGGGCTGACTCCTGGCTCTGCACTCGGGAATTATTCCTGGCGGTGCTCGGGAACCCTGTGGGATGCTGGAGATCGAACCCGGATTGGCCGCGTGCAAAGCAAACGCCCTCCCAGCTGTACTGTCACTCCAGCCCCTGACCCCTGATTTGAGCTCTCTACTGCCTCCCTTGCCCTGAAGCTTCAGGAGTTCCTCAACCCTTTTAACTTGACCTACCCAGGATCAGATTCTGTTATTTTGTTGTTGTTTTGATTTGGGGGAGCCACACCCGGCGACATTCAGGGCTTTCTCTTGGTTCTGAACTGAGGGATCATTCTTGGTGGGGCTCAGGTCAGCCACATGCACCCCAGATTCAGTTCTCATTTGTTAGGGATGAGGTCAGAGGCTGGAGTAATAGCACAGCCAGAAGGGTGTTTGCCTTGCAAGTGGTCCGCCCTGTTCAATTCCCAACATCCCATGTGGCCCTTGTGGTTCCCCAGATCCCACCAGGAGTGATCCCTGAGCGCAGAGCCAGATAAAAGACCTGAGCTTAGCCGGGTATGGCCCAAAAACAAAATTAAATTAAAATTAAAAAAAAAAAAACTCAGATAAGTCAGGGCAAAACTCTAAGAGCAATGTGGGTTTTTTTGTTTGTTTTTCTGTTTGGGAGGACCACACACAGCAGTGCTCAGGGATCACTTCTGGTAGAACTCGGGAACCCTGTGTGGTGCAGGTGATCAAACCTGTGTTGACCATGTGCAAGGCCAGCGCCCCGGAACCCTTGTCTTGTCTCTTCGACCTCAAATACAGTTTTGGGGCTGGAGCAAAAATACAGTCCGTAGGGTGCTTGCCTTCTATGTGCTCGACCTGGATTCATTCCCGGGGTACCCCATAAGGTCCCCTCATTCTTCTCAGGAGCGACCCCTGAGTGCAGAGCCAGGAGTAGCCCCTGAGCACAGGCAGGAGAGACCCAAAAAACAAACTAAAGTTTTATTTTCCAACACATTTTTCTGAAAAACTACAAACCTGCGGGGGCCCTGGGGATAGTGAAAGGTTTGGTGCATCTGGCTGGCTCCTTTCCAAGTCCAAGGTTCGATCCCTGGCACTACCTAGGGCTCCCGAGCCCTGCCAGGAGTGAGCGCTGAGCACTGCTAGGTCTGGCATAAAATACAAGGAAAAAAAAGTTGCCAGGACAGACTGCCTGCAGGCACCCAAAAAACTTCCTCTCTGGGTACTGGTCCCCACCACATCTACAGGAACACGCGTTTCATTCGTCACCCCTCTAAGACAGTTGCGTTAGCACTTCCTGTGTGTTCATCTGGGGTGAGCCCGCCCTGTGTGGGAGCTGCTGGCACCCTCCACCCTGCGCGCATCTCCCCCACCCCAACTCGGCACACACGCAAACTTGCGCGTAGCACCTCTGGGGGGCTGGGAGAAGTCCCCTGCCCCTCTGCAGAGCTAAGCAAGGTGGGGCCCGCTGCCTCCTGCGATCTGAAACCTCTGTGGCCGAGCTTCCCGCCCTGTGGGGCCCCCGCGGACGCCTCACTATCCTGTCTGACCTCAGAGACCGTCTTCCTGCAGAAGGCCGGCCACCATGGTTTGCTCGCGGCCACCTGCGCTGCTCGGCCTCTTGGTGCTCAGTTGCATGATGACCCCAGGTGAGGCCCATCAGGCTCTGAGGGCTGGAGCGGGGTGGGGGCACTTGGAGTTGGAGGGTGGCAGGGCGGCAGAGCATAGAGAAAAACAAATCTCTCCCGCAGCTGCGCAGGGCTGCCGGAAGCAGAAGAGACAGAAAAGGCGGGTGGGGAGGGTGGGCCGCATGTCCTGCACCCAGCCAACGTGGGTTCCATTCTCGGTGCCCCGTGGGGTCCCCCAACTCTTCAGAATTCATCCCTGAGCAGAGCCAGGAGTTAGTTGGCCTATAGCACCGCCGAGTGGCCTCTGTCCCCCATCAAGAAAAGAACATGAGGGCCCAGAACGATAGCACATTGGGTAGGGCATTTGCCTTGCATGCGGCCGACCTGGGTTTGATCCCCAACATCCAATATGGTCCCCCAAGCACTGCCAGGAGTAATTCCTGCGTGCAGAGCCAGGAGTAACCCCTGAGCTTTGCTGGGTGTGACCCAAAATGAAAAAAAAAGAACATGGGGCCCAGCCTGTCCTCAGGAGAAAGTGGGGCTCCCTCAGTCTCCGGGGTCCCCGAGGCATCCTCCCTTCCACTACCTGCTTTACCCTGTGCCCACCCCCCAACTCTTTCTCCCCCCCACCTCTCTTTGCTTCTCTTGGTTGACCACCCAAACAATTACCCTTCCAAATTGGTCACAGGGGTTCAGAGTGGAAATAGTGAAAGTATAGAGGGTCATGTGTTTGCCTTGCCTTCACCTGACCCGGGTTTGCTCCCCAGTACCCCGATGGTCCCCTAAACATTGCCAGCAGTGATTCCTGAGTGCAGGCCAGGAGTAACCCGAGTGTTGCTGGGTGTGCTCCCCCCCCCCCATTAAAATCAAGACAAAAAACAAAACCAAATTGTCTGCAGGGGCGTTGGGGAGATACTTCAAAGGGCTGGTGCATCTGCTTTGCATGAGGGAGCCTCAGGTTTAACCCATGCTGCATCACTCTCCAGGTGTGGTTCCCCTTCCCCCCCAAAAAAAACAAAACTGGGGTCAGAGCAATAGTACAGCAGGTAGAGCGTTTACCCTGCACGCCAACCTGGTTTGATCCCCAGCATCCCATAGGGTCCCCCAGGCACCTCCAGGAGTGATTCCTGAGTGCAGAGCCAGGAGTAACCCCTGAGCATTCCTGGGTGTGACCCACAAAGCAAAACACAACTAACTAGCCATAATTGTTCCTCCTCCAGGAAGTCTTCCCTGAGTCACTGTCTCCTTGCAGTTTCTATGGGCCCATCCTTGCCTCCCTCCAAGCTGGGCCTTGCGCCTGCTCTGTGGTCCTGTTCGGGACCGTTGGGAAGCTTTTGGAGCAAAGAAGCTGCAAGGACATCCCCTGCGGATACGAGGATGACAGGACTCCGTACTCTGTACTCCCCTTGAGCACCCAGTGACTCTCTGTTTCCGCAGGCATCTGGGGGCAAAAGTTCCAGCTCTGGGTAGAGCCCCAGAACCCTCTGGTACTTGCTGGCACGTCCTTCAAGCTAAACTGCTCCACAGACTGCCCCCAGCCCCAGAAGATAATCCTGGAGACCTACCTATCCAAGAAGACAGTGACCAGGGGCGAGGGCTGGGAGACCTTCCAGCTGGATAATGTGACCAAAGATGCTGTGGTCATTTGTGCTGCCATTTGCCAGCAAGGCCAGATCACCAACACCTCCAGGGTCATCACCTATGGTGAGTGCATGCGCAGGGGTGGCTAAGGGAAGGCTGGGGCTTGGGGCAGGAGGTCTCTGGCTGACGAGATTGAACTAGGGTGTCACCTGGCTGTGTGTATGAAAAATGACATGCGTGGCGGGGGGCGGGGGGAATAGACAGGAACCCCGTAGGCCGGATTAGAGCTGTGAAATCAATTTCTATTTTATATTTTGTTTGTTTGGTTTTTGTTTGGGGCCACACCCAGCAGTGCTCAGGGCTTACTCCTGGCTCCGAAATTCAGGATCAGCCCTGGTGGGACTTGGTGGTCACTATGGGGTGCCGGGGATCGAACCCTGGTATATGCAAAGCCAGTGCCTTCCCTGTGGTGTGTCTCCCTTGCCCTTATTTTAATGATTTTATTGATTTGGGCACCACACTTGGCAATGCAGGAAACTGATATCCGGGCTCAGGGGAATGTGTGGTGATGGGGTTGGAACCTGGACCTCCACATGCAAAGCCTGTGCTTGGCCCTTTGAACTCGCTCTCCTGCCTTTTTTTCTTTTTGGGTTACACCCGGCAATGCACAGGGGTTACTCCCGGCTTTGAGCCCAGGAATTACTCCGGGTGGGGCTTGGAGGACCATATGGGATGCTGAGAATCGAACCCGGGTTGGCTGCATGCAAGGCAAATGCCCTACCTGCTCTACTATCACTCCAGCCCTTCTCGTGCCTTTTAATTTGCTGTTTGTCTTGTTTTGGGGGTCACACCGGGGGTGCTCAGGGCTTACTCCTTCAGGCTCTGCTCTCAGGGATCACACCTGGACATGGACAAGGCAAGCAGTTTATGGGCTGGGCTATCTCTCTCCAGACTTCTTTTATTAGTTTTTTTTTTTTGCTTTTTGGATTCATACCTGGCGATGCTCAGGGGTTACTCCTGGCTCTGCACTCAGGAATCACTCCTGGCAGTGCTCGGAGGACCATATGGGATGCTGGGAATTGAACCTGGGTTGACTGTGTGCAAGGCAAATGTCTTACCTGCTGTGGTATCGCTCCAGTCCCCTATTAGTATTTTTAATTGTGGTGCTGACAATGGAATCCAAGGCTCCTACCTGGGGATATGGGGCCGCCCAGAATGACAGAGCACCCTCAGAGGATGGTGAGAATCTGAGTTGGGGTGCTGAATCTGGGAGAGGCCAAAGTCAGCATCTTGCCCCAGTGTGGGGAGGGACAGGGCTTGACTGGACAGGACATAGAGGTGGCCACATGGGGGTGGATTAGGGAGACCACATTCCTGGCTGTGTCTCTTGGGCAAATCACCTCCCCAAGTTCCTCCCTAAGCCACAGGTTCCTCTCTGGAAAAGGAAATACTTCGTTCCATAATCCACCGTACTTCATCACATCATCCTTACACCTGCCTGTTTGCTTTCTTTCCAGTCCAAAAATTGGTTTATAACCCTTTTAAAAAGCTTTGGTTTTAAAAAGCTTTACCTGTTCAGACCAGGGAAGTCCAAAAAATTATTTTAGAAAACCTGTCCTTCACATTGAAAGCAGCCAAAGAATACTAGTCCTGTCTTATTCCAGGCAGGAATAAACCAACGGCCCAAGAAGTATGGGGGCTGGAGCAATAGCACAGTGGGTAGGGCGTTTGTCTTGCATGCGGCTGACACGGGTTCGATTCCAGCATCCCATATCCCATATGGTCCCTTGAGCACCGCCAGCAGCCAGCAGTGATTCCCGAGTGCAGAGCCAGGAGTAACCCCTGTGCATTGCTGGGTGTGACCCAAAAAGAAAACAAAAAACCAAAAAACCAATGGCCCAAGAAGTAAAGTCAACCAATATTCTGTGTTTTGTACAGCCCAAAAGCTAAGGACGATTTTTACATATTTGTGTGGTGGTGGATCAACCCGAAACATTAACATGTGAAAACAATTGTTCGAAGTTCAATTTCAGCATCAATAAATAAAGTTTTATTGAAGCAAAAAAAAAAGTGGGGGGCCTGGAGAGATGGCACAGCTGGTAGGGAGCTTACCTGGGATCAGTTCTTGGTATCACTTAGGGTCCCCTGAGCACCACCAGGAGTAATTCCTGAGTGCAGAGCCAGGAGTAACCCCTGAGTATGGCCCAAAAAGCCAAAAAAAAAAAAAGAAGAAAAGAAAAGAAAACAAAGTAACAAAGAAACAAATAAATATATTTAAAATAACTGGCACATGTTGATTAGATGGTGAGATAGGGTCGGTGGGTAGGTGCAATACGTAGATGGAGCCAATTTCCTGTACGGCTGTGTGTGAATGAAATCCAGGAAATGTGGAAAGTTCTAAACAAAGGGATACTCTGGTGACCAATATTAACAAGTGTCATAAACATTCTTCTTCATCTTCCTTCCTTTTTTGTTAACTTGGGGGGGTAGCAGATAATCTTTTGTTTTCCAGTTTGGCAAGGTTGCTGAGCACATAGGAAATGATAATCAGGATGCTAATGACAATATCAACCCCGCTCCACACTCCTTGAGTTCAGGAGCCGAGTTCACACTTCTACACCAACCACGCCACCCGGGAGGGATGCACTGAGCTATTCTCTCCTCCCCTCCGCCTCAGGATTCCCCGCGAGTGTAGACCTGGCCCCTCTGCCCCCGTGGCTGCCGGCGGGTGAAAATCTCACTCTGAGCTGCAAGGTAGCGGGAGGGGCGCCCCGGGACAACCTCACGGCGGTGCTGCTCCGCGGGGATGAGGAGCTGAGCCGGCAGCCTGTGCCGGGGGTTCCCGCCGACGTGGTGGAGGTCACGGCCACGGTGCGGGCGCGCCGCGAGGACCACGGCGCCAATTTCTCGTGCCGCACGGAACTGGACCTGCGCCCCGTAGGGCTGGGACTGTTCGAGAACAGCTCGGTCCCCAGGCAGCTCCGAACCTACGGTGAGTGGAAGGGGGTTAGGGGGAGATGGAGAGTGGTCCAGGAGCTGAACTGGACCAAGGGAGGTCGCGGGAGTTCCCCGACCACGGGCTGTCTTGGACCCCAGATGGAAGGTGTTTGAGAAGGCAGCGCGGTGTATCCGGGGAAGGGGGTGCTCCAGCGTTTACGCGTGCTGCCCCCTCCCCACCCCACCCTTCATATTCACTCTTTCCCCCAGTCTTGCCTGGCAACGGCCCACGCAACACTGTGCGCCGCTATTTGGAGGTGGGGAAGTTGTGGCCGGTGAATTGCAGCCTGGACGGACTGTTCCCCGCCTCCGAGGCCCAGGTCCAGCTGATGCTGGGGAACCAGATGCTGCATCCCGTAGTCTCCACCCACGGGGACACGCTGACGGCACTGGCCATAGTCAACGCGAGCGAGGGGCAGGAGGGCGCCCACGAGATGGTTTGCAGCGTGACCCTGGGAGGCGAGAGCCGCGAGTCTCGGGAGAATGTGACATTTTTCAGTAAGGAGGGTGGGGGTGTGTGGAGGAGGGCCAAACCTAGTGGGCGGGGCCTTCACCGTGTGGGCGGGGTCGTTGCGTGGGCGTGGTCAGAGGGGCGTGGTGGGCGTAGCTGGAACTCCTGGCTCTGAAGGCAAGATCAACTCACCCCAGGGGTCAATGCCTCTCCCGTCTTTAGGTTTCCCGGGGCCCACTCTGACTCTGAGCGATTCTGAGGTCCACGAAGGAACCACAGTGAATGTTATTTGTGCAGCCGCGCCCCCAGCCCAGGTCTGGCTGGACGGTGTCCGGGCCACCAGCCCCGGGCAGCCGATCAAGCTTCAGCTAAATGCCACGGAAAAAGACGACAGGCGCACTTTCTTCTGCAATGCCACCTTTGAGATGGAGGGGGAGACCCTGTACAAGAATAAGAGCGTCCAGCTGCGGGTCCTCTGTGCGTTCTTTCATCTCTTGCTCCCCCCCCCCCGGCCCCCCCCCCCCCGCCGCCTTAGTTGTACCTTGGTTGTCTCTGATCAGTTGTCGCTTTCACAGACCGTCCCAAGATTGACAGAGCCAAATGTCCCCAGCGTCAGATATGGAAAGAGGAAACTACCCGTGTCCTGGACTGCCACGCCCAGGGTAACCCGGACCCCCTACTGAAGTGTTTGCAGAACAGCTCCGGGCACTCGGTGCCAGTGGGGATCCCGCTCTTCGTCAAGTTAAACTACAGCGGTACCTACCACTGCCAGGCGATCAACTCACTGGGCACGTACACTCTGATGGTGGAGATTAACGTTCAGGGTAAGCAAAGGCGCCTGGGCCGCGGATCTAGGCAAGTATACCGAGAGCCCGGGGAAGAGTGCATTGACTCTCTGCACTGGTTTGCTTCCCTGCACAGGGCGTAACCCGCTCAGCGTCACCATCATCTTGACAGTGTTAGTGATCCTGGGCGTGGCGACTGTCGGAGCCGGCCTTGTCTACGTCTCCCGGATTCATAAACGGAGCGACAGCTACCACGTGAAGCAGGAGGCCAAGTCGTCTCTGATGCCTCAGTCCAACGAGACAGAGGCGGAGGTGGCAGTCTGAGTCCGGGAGCGGGGTGGGGCAGGCTCCTGGGTTCAAGAGAACTGGCGTTTGGTTGTTTCTCTGGGTTCCGCACCAATAAAGTCTTCAAAATCCGGCGTCCGTAGTTTGATTCCACCTGAATGAGTTGCGTGTCCCTTGAGTGACAGCCCCGTGGCGCAAAGGGGCAGGGCCAGGGGAGGCTTCCGAGCCGGCGAGCAGCCGCCGAAGCGGGCTGGGTTTCAGCCAATGGGGTGAAGGGGTTGTGGAGGAGGCGGGGTTTCTCCCAGCCAATCGCCCGAAGCGACCCCCGCTTGCCGCTCTAGGCCGCGGCGCCTGGGCTCGTTAGTCCCAGAAGGCGCCGGTTTTCCCAAGATGGCCGCCGACGTGTCCGTTACTCATCTGCCCCCGCAGAGCCCGGAGGCTGGGGCCGAGGCTGAAGCCGAGGACGGTGCGGAGCGCCGGGCGCCCGAGGAGGAGCTGCCGCCGCTCGAGCCCGAGGAGATCCGGAAGCGCCTGGAGCACACCGAACGCCAGTTCCGTAACCGTCGCAAGATACGGATCCGGGGCCTCCCGGGGGACGTGACTAACCAGGTGGGGGGGCGCTGTGGGAGCGTGGCGGGAAGCGCCGGCGTGCGCGTGCGCTGGGGGTCACCGCGGGGGCGGCGGCCGCGTCCAGGGGAGCCGCCGGGGGGCTGCTGGTGGGGGCGTGCGCGGGCGGCGCCGACTGCCCGCGGGGTCCCGGGAAGGCCCCCGAGAGCGCTCGCGGCCGGGCGGCGTGGCCCGGCCGAGACCCACTTGGGGCCGCCTGAGGCCGTTGCTAGGGCAACCGCGGGCACTCGGAGCTCGAAAGGGGCGGGGAAGGGAAGGGGGCGGGGGGGACGACCGTGCGTGGCAGAGGCCGGCCGGAACCCTGCGAGTAGGGCGACCCGCGGCTTCCTACCCCGATTGTGCTTTGAGACACTAATAAAAAGAAGAAGAATGTCCCCCCCAGCGCCGTGACCACGGGGGCCCTCATAGCCCGAGGTTCCAGAGTCTCTTCCCGAGCACGCGCGTGTGGACGCCTCCCGCGCAGCCGGAAGTGGAGGCCGCTCCTGGACGCTGCGCAAAAGCCCGGGATTAATTGTTGGCGAGGCTCGTCTCCAGCCCGCAGACCTTGCGGGGGAGGGCGGGGAGTGGAGCGGAGTCTTGTGCTCGCTCGGGGCTCCCTTCCCCCTCCGTCCCGTGGCAGAGCTGCAGGGGGGACCCTGCTCGGTTCCTGGAGGAACCCGCATGCCCTTTGGACCCCGTGGAGATTTGCCGCCTGTCTGCTGCGCGCTGCGTTGGCGACCCGGCTTCTTCCTGCCCCTGAGGCTCCGTGCACACCTGAGCACCGGCCGCTGGGTCGTGCTAGCCCAGGTGGCGCCATCCCCCACCCCGAGAGTGTCGAGGGGCGTGGCCAGATGGATCACCCGGAGTCCGCCCGCCCGGGCCCGCCTGGGCAGAACTTGGGCTGATTTGTTTCCAGGGCCCGGCCCTCCTCCTGGCCCCCACACCTCCCCCTCAGCCCTTTCCCCATCCGTCGGGTGCACTCAGTTTCCCCACCTCAGTGCCTTGGGCTGCTGGACGCAGTTCTCCCAATGGGTGCCAGGGAGGCCCCCTGCCTGCTGGGCTTAGTGCTCCTGGGGGCCCGGTTGGTCACATGACCTTCATCAGGTCTCACTGTGCCCTTGCTTTTCCCCCTGCACCTACAAATGGGTTCACCTTTCCGCGCTGAGAGTCCCCACTGGCGGCCCAGAGGTGTTACTGAACCTCCTCTGCCTGCTTCCCAGGGGCCTGTGGCCCAGCCAGAATTTGAATTCACATCCTCCTAGTGTTTGTGTTTTGGGGGGCTAGTAGGTTGCAGGCTGCAGCTGACCTGCTGAATGCCAGCTTTGCAGAGCACGACCTGGGGCCCAGGGCAGCTCACCAGCTCCGACCTTCACAGGCGCGCTCTCTCTCTCTCTCTCTTCCCCCCCTCTCTCTCCCCCTTTTGGAGGGAGGGGCTGCAGCATATCCAGTGCTCATCAGGAATCACTAATAGCAGTGAGCCTGTGTGGGGTGCCAGGGAGTGAATCTGTGTCTGCTGCATGTATGACATCATCTTACCTGCTGTGCTGCCCCGCTGGCCCCCTCTTTTTTGGGGGGGCATCGCCTGACAGTGCTCACATATCACTCCTGGCAGGGCTCAGGGGACCCTGTGCGGGGCCAGGGGCCAAGCCCAGTGGCTGTGCTCTGCAGGCGCCTTCCCTGTGGCCATGTCCCTGTCCCCATCAATGTCCCCCATGCTCTCTTTCCTCCTGTGACACCTCCTGCTCACTGTGGGCACCCGGGAGCCACTCTGGATGACCATTTGTCCATGGATCTTGTTCTGACTGGGGTGCTTGGGGCCCTCGGGGGTCACAAAAGCCATCTCCTTGGATGCAGCTTTCTTGGGTTTTATTGGAGGGGCCACACCCAGTGGTGCTCAGGGGTCCCTGTGCTGCAGGGGAGGGACCCTGGGTTCCCACAAACAGAGCCTGTTCGCTGCGGTCCTCTGAGTGGGTCCCCAAGGGGGATCATTCCCATCTTTGTCCCTCTCAGCTCTGGTGACACCCGGCCCGTGCTTCTGTCTCCACAGGAAGTGCATGATCTACTCCGCGACTTTGAGCTCAAGTACTGTTTCGTGGACAAATACAAAGGGACAGGTTTGTGGGCAGAGGACTGGGCTGAATGGCAGGGCTACAGTCTCTGATGTTGGGAGCTCCAGGGCCAGGAGGTGGCCTCTCTCTTGCCCTGGGGGACTCCACTTCCCACGCCTTCTCCCCAGCCAGCCAGCTAGTCACCCCAGGCTTATCCAGCCTTCACTCTCCAGAGAATGGGGCCCTCCTCGCACTGTAGTCCCGGTGGGCTTCAGGGAGGAAGCAATGTTTTCAGTCCAAGGCCAGGGTAGGCATGTTTGACCAGGGACCACTGGGGTATGTGTTTCCTGAGGGGGGCAGACTCGGGAGTCTGGGTTTCCCTGCCTGACTGCGCCTCCGTGGCTTGGACCTGGGGCTCGGGGCCTCTCCTGCACCGGCCACGTGGTGGGCAGGAGGGGGGTTAGCCCCAGAGTCGGAGCTGCGCCCCTCGTTGGGTGGGACCCAGGCGGGGCCCCACCCTGAGCCCATGCCCGTCCCGCCCACAGCGTTCGTGACCCTGCTGAACGGGGAGCAGGCGGAGGCGGCCATCAGTGCCTTCCACCAGAGCCGGCTGCGGGAGTGCGAGCTGGCGGTGCAGCTGCAGCCGGCCGATGCACTCCTGTGCGTGGCCAACCTGCCGCGCAGCCTCACGCAGCAGCAGTTCGAGGAGCTGGTGCGGCCATTCGGCAGCCTGGAGCGCTGCTTCCTGGTATACAGCTCGCGCACCGGCCATTCCAAGGGCTACGGCTTCGCCGAGTACATGAAGAAGGACTCGGCCGCCCGGGCCAAGTCGGACCTGCTGGGCAAGCGACTGGGCCGCCGCACCCTCTACGTGCACTGGAGCGACGCGGGCCAGCTGACGCCCGCACTGCTGCACTCCCGCTGCCTCTGCGTCGACCGCCTGCCCCCCGGCTTCAGCGACGCCGATGCCCTGCGCCACGCGCTCTCAGCCGTCCACGCGCCCACCTTCTGCCAGGTGAGTCCTTCCCAGGCTCTTGTCTCCCCCACCCCGCTTCCCACCTGACGGTGCTGGGGACCACCTCTTGGCTCTGCGGGGCTGGAGGACCCTCTTGGGGGTTGGGGATGGGACCCGAGTTGGCGCCTGGCAGTAAACACCCTCCCTGCATCCCATCTTGCGGGCCTGGACCTGGTTCCCTTTGCAGCAAGTGGCGGTGGGTGGGGGCAGTGGGTCCCACGTGGGCCAGCAGGGTGCAGGGCCCAGTCCCAGTTCATGGTCAGGTCCCATTGTCCTCGCTGGGCAGGCCACGGGTCACTGAGCCTCTGATTCTCACCTTGACCCCCGGGTGGCAGAGGGGCCAGGGTAAGGCGGCTTCCCTGGGGGGGGCATTGGCTTAACACGTGTGAGGGACTGGCTGGAACCCTGTCACTCGGGGCCCCCCACTACAACCTCCCAGGCTGTTGTTTGTGGTCAAGTGGCCCACAAGACCGGGGACATGTCCTTGGGCCTGCAGCTCCTCCTCGCCAAGTTCTGTGCGTGTCTGGGACGAGGCCAGGCCCAGCTCCCAGGCAGGGTGGCCTGCAGGGGACCGTCCTGGCTCATGGCCACGTCCTTCCTGCCCTTGCCCGGGGGAGTTAGCACTTGGTTCCTGCTCAGAAGTGGGGTCACCCCTAGCTCTGCTCCCACGCCCTCACTCCCCGCCGCCCCACGACTTTGTGGGAGACACGAGCCCTTTGGGTCAGGGAGGGCTTAAGCAGCCCCACACCGGGGTTCGATCCTGGCCCCGCAAAAGCAAACCAAGGCCGATCCCGGAAGGTCAGGTGTCCTAGAGAGGAGTGTCCCCTGCGGTCCCAGAGACCCTGCCCACTGCACCTTCACTTCTCTTCATGACAGAGATGCTGGACACCGCGTGACCCTAAACTTTGTCCCCTGTGGCCCCACACCTGCACTCTAGGGGGGCTCTGCAGCCTTGAGCGTCTGGGTGTCTGGGGGGGTCCCTGTAAGGAGGCTCACCATTGCCAGCCCGGGTTCCAGTGGGTTGTCGTCGGGGTTGAGGGCAGGCGATGCCCCTGCCCGCCTGGGCACTGGGGTTCCCCGCCTCGCCCCCGCCCCCAGAGTGCCTCCCTAGGGCCTGCAGGGGGCCGCTCATGCCACTCCCCCCCACAGCTGGCCTATGGCCAGGACGGGCAGCTGAAGGGCTTCGCGGTGCTGGAGTACGAGACGGCCGCCATGGCTGAGGAGGTGCAGCAGAGCGCCGACGGCCTGGCGCTGGGGGGCAGCCACCTGCGGGTGTCCTTCTGTGCCCCGGGGCCCCCTGGCCGCAGCATGCTGGCCGCGCTCATAGCCGCCCAGGCCACGGTGAGTGTGTGCCTGGCTGCCGCCTGCCCCCCTTCCTGCGCCCCCCCGGGGTGGCCGGGAGCAGCAGGGCCCCGCCCTGAGTCCCCTCCGCTGGTCCCCGCAGGCCCTCAATCGGGGCAAGGGGCTCCTCCCGGAGCCCAACCTCCTGCAGCTGCTGCACCACCTGGGCCCCTCCGCCTCGCTCCAGTTGCTGCTCAACCCCCTCCTGCACGGCAGCGCGGGGGGCAAGCAGGGTAAGGGGGTCCCCCCCCACCCCGGGACTCAGCCCCCGAGCAGGGAGGGGGACGTGGCAGCCGGAGGGGTTCCCGCGGGCCCTTGGCCAATTTCCCAGCTTCCCCCAGGCCTCCTGGGTGCACCCCCTGCCGTGCCGCTGCTCAACGGACCCGCCCTGTCCACGGCTCTGCTGCAGCTGGCCCTGCAGACGCAGAGCCAGAAGGTAACCCCCTCCTCGCCCGGCCGAAACACAGCTCTGAATAACACCCCACCCCGCCCCCCGGCCTGAGGTGGGCGAGCCTCAGGCCGAGGGCCACACCGCCCCCTGCAGCTGATTGCTCTGTCCCCAGAAACCTGGGATCCTGGGAGACTCCCCTCTGGGCCCCCTCCAGCCAGCCAACCCCCTGCTCGGGGAGCTGCCCGCAGGTAACCCACCGCCCGCCCGCCGCGCCCGGCTCTGTCTGCCCTGCGTGCGTGGGTGGCTGCTGCCCCGCTTCTCTCCTGCAGGTGGGGGCCTGCCCCCCGAGCTGCCGCCCGGACGGGGCAAGCCACCGCCCCTGCTGCCACCTCTGCTCGGCCCCTCGGGGGGTGACCGTGACAGTCTGGGTCCCCCCATTGCCCAGCTCACCCCGTCGCCCACCACTGTGGGGATTCGGGGCTCCAGCCTCCGGGGCCTCCAGAAAGATGGAGGGCCTCTGCCGACGCCCCCCGGGGTAAGGCCCTGCTGGCTTCCCCCTCGTTGGCTCCCCCCGCTTCCCCATCCGCCTCTCCTGATCCAGACCCTCCTCCCACAGGTCTCCCTGCTGGGGGAGCCCCCCAAGGACTTCCGGATCCCCCTGAACCCCTACCTGAACCTGCACAGTCTGCTCCCAGCCAGCAACCTGGCGGGTAAGGAGGCCCGGGGCTGGGGGGGCCCCGGGAGAAGTGGCCGCGCCGCCGAGGGCCCCCTGCCGAACCCTCCAGCCGCGGGTGGCAGCGGCAAGGCCTTCCCGCTGCGGGCCCGCCCGCACCCCGAGCCGGGCCTGCCCGACGGCTACGGCGGCTTCGACTACGCCCCGGTGAGTGCCCGCCTGCCCCCAGAGCTGGCCCCACAGACTGGGACGCCCCGCTGGCTTCTCACGCCTGCACCCGGCCGCCTGGGGCCTCCCCAGCTGGCATACCGCCTGTCCTGCAGGGGCGGGGGGCTCCCCGGAGCAGAGGAAGCTGGACTGTGGGTGCTGGGGAGGGGGGCACCCCAGCCCGACGCGCTCGTCTCACTTTGGTGCAGGATGTGGGGTCTCGGCGGCTTTTTTCTCACCCGCGGGAGCCCGCCCCCGGGCCTCCTGGGCCCAGCCGCCACAAAGTAAGAAGCTGCCCCCCCCCCCCCCGCCCCCCACGCTTCTCTGGGATGCGGGAGGGGGTCCCCTCTGCGCTGGCTCAGGTGGAGGGGGGTGAAGTGTCTGTGAAGGGGAACTTTCCCACCTGCCCCAGCCCACCCCCTTCTCTACAGATGTCACCCCCACCCAGCGGTTTCAGCGAGCGGAGCGGCGGGGGCCCCCTCCCCCATTTCTACTCAGGCTCCCCCACGTCCTACTTCACCAGTGGCCTGCAGGCTGGCCTCAGGCAGAGCCACCTGAATAAGGTGAGGGCCTGCGAGGTGGACACGGGACGCCCACCGTACCCAGGGCGGAGTGTGGGGGGCTCTGCTCCTCTCCTGCCCAATCCTTGGCACCGCCAGACAGGTAGTTCTCAGAGCTGGGGTGCAGACTCTGATGCAGGAGCCACACCACACACCCACACCTACACCCACACTCACAGGAGTGACTCCTGAGCAGTATCTGCTGGCCCAGGGGTAGCAAAACCCCCACAGGGCTCTGAGGCTACCCCCCCCGCCCCCCAAGAGTGACTCCTGAGCCACACACAAGCGCGTGCATACAGGGCATACACACACCCAGTGACCACACACACGTTCAAGAGTGACTCCTGGGCAGTACATGCTGGCCTGGGCTCTGAGCTTCCCCTCCCTGCTCCTCCTGTCTCCAGGCCATCGGCTCCTCCCCGCTGGGCTCCAGTGAGGGACTCCTGGGGCTCAGTCCCGGACCCAATGGGCACAGCCACCTGCTGAAGGTATGGGCAGGGGGCGGGGACGCACAGGGCCGGGGCGCGGTGACCCCCACGTGACCCCTGACCCGCCCCCCCCTCTGTCTCTAGACCCCCCTGGGTGGCCAGAAACGCAGCTTCGCCCACCTGCTGCCTTCCCCTGAGCCCAGCCCCGAGGGCAGCTACGTGGGCCAGCACTCCCAGGGCCTGGGCGGCCACTACGCAGACTCCTACCTGAAGCGCAAGCGGATTTTCTGAGCGGACGACGGGCTCCAGCGTCGCTTTGGGGGTTTCTGGTGTCGCGTTTGACGATTTTCTTTCTTTCTTTATTGTTTTTAATCATTCCTCCTGGCGGTAACTGAAGACTCTGAAAAAGACTGACCGACCATTGTGGGGACCGGGGCAGTGGGGGGGCACTCTGCTCCAGCCAGCCCCTGCCAGTCCCTCCCTACAGCCTTAGGAGGGAGGGGTGTGGCCCACTCTCCCCCCTCCCACGCCCACCTGTGTGTGTCTGTCCGTCGTTCCATCAGGCGCTCTTTCCTGCCTCAACACTCCTGTATCTCGGCCTCCTGAGTGCCTTGGAGGTCCCCCTGACCTCCCATGAGGATCAGAGACTGTGTCCCCCCCCTTTTTTTTAACTTTGAGAAATGACATGTTCCCTTTTCTAGATTTTACGATTTCTTTTTAAACAGTCCAGGCTGGTGCCCCAGCTCGGACACCCCCGCTGTGTCCAGCCCTCCTGTGCCCCACTGACGGTTACACACGACTCCTGCTCCCTTTCTCCTACGGTTGCTGTGGGCACAGCTTTCTCCTGGCTGCTGCCCGCCCTCTGCCACAGCCCCCCACCCCCGACCTTCTGATGCCTTAAAGCCAGTTCCTCTCCTGCCAGCTCCCCTCCCCAGCCAGAGACTCACAGGAGCTCCAGGAGCTTGACTCGGACCAAACATCTGTGGCTGGGGCGGGTTCCGCCTTCTCTCCCCGGAGGCCACCCTGAGGATCCTAGGAGGCCACCAAGGGTTGGGGGAATCGGGTCCCACCATCCCTTCCACCCAGGCCTGGGTGCAGAGCCAAGAGCGCCCGCTTCACTCATCTGTGGGAGTCTGGGTCCCATTGTTCCTTTCGCTGGTCCTCTGTGGACCCCACTTCAGATGATTCCAGTCCCTCCCCTGAGGTCTCTTGGAGCCGGCCTCCCTTAAAAGGGGCCTCAGTGCTGGTAACCAGGAACTTCATGCAGAAGAATTCTGCCCCTGGCAGCTAGCATGACCTATCCACCTAAGGTAACCCTGGGCCCTCGCCCCAGCCCTTTCACAAACCTTTGCAGAAATAAAGTTCGTAAGGAAATGATTCTGAAGAAAACAGCCGACTGGTTCTTGGGATATTGGGATGTATAGACGGGCCTGGGTGCGAAGATGCGAGAGGCCTTGCTGGTCTTCCACCAGTGCCCAGCGCCGACTTCCCCGCCGCCCCCACCCCATCACTTCCCCCTCCCCCTCCCCCCCCCGCCGGAGCTTCTATTCGAGTCATTACGGCGCCCCGGGCTTCTGCGAGCTTCGGCGCAGGCGCGGCTTCCGGTCACGTGACGCCTGTCATGGCCGCCTCCGTGGCCTGTGGTGGTGTGAGTGCAGGATTCCTGCGAGCCGCGCGGGGCGCCTGGAGGAGCAGACCGGGGGGCTTTTCGGGGTCCGGGGAGGCGTCGGCGACCACGAGGAGGTTCTGGGCGACAGGTACCTGGGCTGGCGGGGCAGCGTGCGCCCGTGTCGCGCCGCGGGGCGCCGCGCGGCCGCTCACCCAACCGTGTTTTCCAGGCTTGCGCCCGGCGGGGGAGGAAACCGGTGGCCCGGAGCGGCCCGAGGGCGTGTGAGTGTGGGGGGGGGACCGAATCCTCCAGACTCTGTCCCACGAAGTTCTTCCAACCCCTCACCTTGGCTTGCAGCCTCATCCCCGGGTCCCCTCAGCGTCTCCCCCCTTCGTGCTCCCAGCCCCGGTCGAGTCCCGACACCAGCGCCCCAAAACCCGCGGTGTTGTGGCCCCAGCCCCCAGCGCGGCGTCCGCATCCCCATCTGTCCCCAGGGTGAACGTGGTGTTCGTAGACCGGTCAGGCCAACGGATCCCGGTGAGCGGCAGAGTCGGGGACAATGTCCTGCACCTCGCCCAGCGCCACGGGGTAGACCTGGAAGGTGGGAGCCGGGCCCAGGGAACTGGGGAGTCGCTTCTGGGATTAAGTCGAGGCCGGGGAGGACAGCGGACAGGGCGCTTTCCCCGCACGCGTCTGACTCGGTCCCCAGGCTCCCTGCCAGCTTCGCTCCGAGTGCAGTCAGGAGTGAGTGCTGGGCATCTCCAGGTGTGCTCCTCCCCTCTGCCCCCCCAAAAAGGAATAAAGCACCCCACTGATCACCTCCGTCTCATCATTAAGCAGTGGGGAGCAGAACCCAGACATGTAACAAAGTTCAGAGACCACCCAAGCCTAAGTCCCCTGCTCACCTCTTAACCATCTCAGCGCTTCCTTGTGGTTATAATCTCCCCAACCGTTCCTGCCTTCCAGGAGCCCCGGTTCTCAGTGTTCTCAGTCCCAGGCTAATAGGTGGACACTTGACCACTTCTCGCTCACACGTGAGCGTGGCTTAATTAACTCAGATTGCAGCGCCAGTGTGTTAGGGATGTTCCGGTGGACAGCAAGAAAATGGCAAAGTAGGAGCTGGAGCAATAGCACATCCAGTAGGGCGTTTACCTTGCACGCGGCTGACCCAGGTTCGATTCCCAAGCATCCCATATGGTCCTCTGGTGAGCGCCGTCAGGCCAAGATAGTGGTTTGTGACTGACAGCTGCTTTGGAGAGATGAGAGAGGCGGAGAGAGGCACAGGCTGGGGTAATTCCTGAGTGCAAAGCCAGGAGTAACATTGCCGGGTGCGACCCAAAAAAGCAAAAAAAAAAAAAAAAAAGTAGGAGTCCAGACCCAGCCTTTTTTCACCACATATTTAGGGTGTTCCTTTGGTGGGTGGGGCACATCCAGCTATGTTCAGGAATCACTCCTTTTTGGGTGATTGGGGTTTGTGGACACCCGTGAGGTGCTGGAGATGGGACCTTGGATTCCTGCATGCGGAGTTTGCTCCTTCACCCTTTGAGCCCCCACACCCAAGCCTCACTTGGCCGAGTATTGCTCACCTGATGTGTGCCAGGCAGCAGTGTACAAAACAGAGAAGATCAAGTGGGTCGAACTGGGGCTTTTCACATCCAGTTCAGCCTTCTGGGACCACTGGACCATGAGGAAACCTGGAATTGTGTGTGCAGGTGCTCCAGGTGGTCTGCAAAAACATAGAGTTCATTTGTTGAGGTACTCTAATCGGGTGTGGGCAGCACACGGTGTGGGGGACATGGCAGCCTGGACAGTGCTGAATTCTGGCTGGGACAGTCGTACTTGTGTATTTATTTATTTTGGCATTTTCGGTCACACACAGCCGAGCTGTGAGGGTGAGACGGGATGGAACCTGGCACCCCACATGCTAAGCCTGTGCTCCCGTCCAGTGAGCGGTTTGTGACTGACAGCTGCTTTGGAGAAATGAGAGCGGCAGAGAGAGGCACAGGCGAGGGGCTTGGGGGACAGCCCATGGGAAGAGGCTTTCCAGGCCAAGGGTCACAGCAAGGGTCCTGTGCTGAGGGGGAGTTGGGGGAGGCTGGAGGACAGAGGCGTCTCCAGGACGAAGTTTTTGATTTGTGTGTGTGGGTGTGTTTGGGTCACACTCGGTGGTGATCAGGGCTTACTCCTGGCTCTGTGCCCAGGCGTCACTTCTGCCAGGGGCATGTGAGGGGCCACTGGGGTGCCGGGGATGTGCTCTGCCCGCCGTCTTCTCCCTCCTCCCCGGAGGGGTTTCGCTTTTATTGGGTGAAGAACCCTGTGGTAGACTACAGAGCAGCTGTGTCCCCAAGCAGGAGTTGGGAGGCTCCATTGGGAGGTGGGAAGGTGGTCCCAGGGTTAGCATTAGGGCCTTGTAGGGAGTCAGTTCTGGGGACCCTTGAGCTGCTCCTTTGTTAATGCCAGCCAAGGGAGATGAGTCAGGTAGGCAAACAAAATGGCCACGCTGCAAGAAATGAGCTCCCCCCTTCCCCATTTCCCCTCCCGTTCCCCCTCCCCAGGGGCCTGCGAAGCCTCCCTGGCCTGCTCCACCTGCCACGTGTACGTGAGCGAGGAGCACCTGGACCTCCTGCCTGCGCCGGATGAGAGGTGAGGGGCGAGGGGGACGCGCCCCCGCGGCCCGGCTGCCCCCACCCCCCCCACCCCCGCCGCTCACCACCGCCCTCCCCGCCACCCCAGGGAGGACGACATGCTGGACATGGCGCCCCTCCTGCAGGAGAACTCCCGGCTCGGCTGCCAGATCCTCCTCACCCCGGAGCTAGATGGCGCCGAGTTCACGTTACCCAAGATCACACGGAACTTCTACGTGGACGGCCACGTGCCCAAGCCCCACTGACGGGCAACTGGACGGGGCGCCCGCCCCCCGGGCCGGACTAGCGCGGCCAGGCGCCGCGGAGTGCAGGGGCGCCCCCAGAAGGTCGCAAAACCCCCCCCCTTGCCTGCCGCACCCCACTGGGTCGGGGACCCTCCTGGGGTCCCCCTCTAGGCACCCCTGCTGCTGAGAACCGGGGCTGGGGGAAAAGGCGGAACTGAACCGAGGACAATAAAACTGTCTAAAGCCTCCAGCATTTTGAGTGATCTTGATGGGGGCCCGCCAGTCCCCCGCCTTTTTTTTTTCCCCAACCGCATCACTTTTTTTGTTGTTGGTGGGGGAGGCTGGGCCACACCCGGCGGTGCTCAGGGATCACTCCTGGCGGTGCTCGGGGGGACCCTATGGGATGCCCAGGGTCGGACCCGGTGGCCGCATGCAAGGCCAGCGCCCACCCCTCTATCCTGTCGCTTCGGCCCCTCAACTACTTCTTGGGCACTCCCCAACTCTCCCCGCCACGCCCAGGCACGGGGTGCGGGGCCGTCAGGGGTCTGCGGTAGCATCCGGGACCCCCCCTCTTCCGGCAGGGGAGAACCCACGTGGGCGAGCGTGGCCTGGCCCCGCCCCGCGGGCAGCGCGGAGGGATCCGGAGGGATCCAGAGGGATCCTCGGGGGTGCGCGGGGCTCACCTGGGTGTGCACGCCGGAAAGGGCAGAGCCGGGGGCTCAGAGCTGGTGTCCGAGCCCCGCCCCGTTCAGGGGAGGCTGCGGCGCCCCCACCCACCCGCGCATCCACCCACCCAGGTGCGTCTCATCTCCTCCTGTACACCGGGGGGCGGGGCCGGGGCCGGGCGAGATCGGGGCTACGCGGGGGCTGCGTGGGGGCGCGATGGAGGCCCAGCCAGGTCCGGATTTCGCCATGCTGCGAGATCCACAGGCGTCTCCGTGTCTGGGCCCCGACTCGCGCCCGGAACCCCCAGCCCAGCCGATCCCGAGGACCCCAGGACGACTGGGACTAAGCGGCAGGTGTGTTGGGCCCGAGCGCTAACACGGGGTGGGGTGGGGGGTGGGCGCTCGCCTCCCACGCACGCGGCCCACCAGGGTTCCATCCCCAGCACCCCATCGGGTCCCCTGAGGGCCCGGAGCCACCTTGAGCACCACCGGAAGTGGCCCCAAACAACCAAAAAAACAATGGCAGGTGCGCTCCAGGCAAGCCCCTCCCCCCACCAGGCCCAGTGGGCAAAGGGTCATGACCTCTGGGGCCCGGGTTGACCCAAGGGTCGCGTGCATGCGAGCTATCCCGGGCCTGACAGAGATTCTGGTCCATTCCTCTCCGCGGGAATATCTCAGATCATCCCCGGGAGGTCAGAGGTCAGGCAGCTTAGCCTGCCCTATGGGAGGCATAGGTGTGGGGGGTCCCCCCAGACCGGCTAACGCTGCCCCATGTCCCCAGGTCCTGGCCGGCCTGCGAGGATGCCGTGGCAGCACTGTGCTTCTTGCACGAGGCAGCAGAAGAGCTGTGCGGTACGACCCCCACGCTGGGGTCCTGCTGGGAGCCCCTGCAGGCGCTGGGGACTCTGGGATCCCCACCTGTGACAGGGGGTGCCAGGAGCATGCTGACCGCAAAATGCCAGCAGAGCCACCGCTGCCACCTGGGTTTCCCAGGAGCGCTGGCCCCTGCCTCCCCGAGGCCTCGGAAGCAGCCACACCCCCAGAAGGGCTTGGAGCTGGAGGACCCCCAGTTTCAGGGCGTGACCCTGAAGTTTGAGATCAAGCCTGATGCCAGCCTACATATCGTGCCCCGCTACAGGTAGGGGCTGGCCAGGGTGGGGGCACTCCAGAGTTCCCTGGGAGGGACCTGGGGAGGGGAGGGACTGGCACATCAGGGACCCCCCCAGCCCTCCTCTCATTTCCAAATGACCCAGACAGAGCAAGTCCCTGCTGGCAGGGTGGCAGACCCAGCGCCTCTGCATACCCCACAGATGGACTAATCCTGCCCCAAGATGCATTGGCCCATCTCCTTGGTAATAGCCGCTGCCCCTGGTCAGGTCTCAAAACCCTCAACCGCCCCAGGCTTGATCTCAACCTCTAACCCATCTGGGCCTCGCGAAGCCCATTTTACAGACGTGGAAACTGAGGCACCATGGGGCGCTGACTAACCAGGATTATACAGCCAAGTTGGCGGGCATAGGGGGCGGATGCTGGGATGGTACCCTACAGGCTGGCCCCCAGGCCCCCCACATCTTCAAACCAGGACCCTCAGGGTTTGGATTCAAATGAGGGACTGCAGGCGAGGGGACAGATGTAAAGGCTGGGCACCGTCGAGAGTGACCCCCGAGCAACATTCTGGAAGTAGTAGCCTGAGTGCCACCCAGTGTGACCCCAAAGCCAAAAGATAAAAAGATTTGGGGAAGGGGGCCGGAGCGATAGCACAGCAGGTAGGGCGTTTGCCTTGTAAGTGGCTGACCTGGGTTTGATTTCCAGCATCCCATATAGTTTCCCGAGCACTGCCAGGAGTAATTCCTGAGTGCAGAGCGAAGAGTAACCTTATGCATTGCCAGGTGAGACCCAAAAAGCAAAAAAAAAAAAAGGAAAAGAAAAGAAAAAATTGGGGGGGCTGAGCCGCAGGATGCTGCATTAAGGGTGAGTCCCTGGGCACCATCTTCTGCTGAAACGGAACAGAAAAACACCAAAAAGTCACAGGAAAAAAAAATAAGGTCAGGAGGGTGATGGCGTCAGGCCCTCGGGAGCTTGCGATGAGCCCCAGCACCCCAGGCCAAAGCCTGCCAGGTGTCCCTCCTCCCCAAGAAACGGGGAGGGGCAGGTGATCGGGCACTTGGAGGGCGCTTGCCTTGCACGCAGTTGACCTTGGTTTGATCCCCAGCATTCCCACAGGGCACTCTGAGCACCGCCAGAAGTGATTCCTGAGCACAGAGCCAGGAGTCAGCCCTGAGTACTTCCAGATGTGTCTAAAAAATAAAATATAAAAGAAGCAGAGTTGCTGTTGACGTGGGGGAGGCTGTCTGGGATAGCAACCCCCCCCCCACACACACACACTAATGCCTTACTTTCCCCCCAGCCTGGCCTTCAGCAGCGGCTCCAGTTCTCAGAGTCCCCCTGAGGAGGCCCCCAAGAGCCCTGAGGCCAGCCTAGGAGGCAGCGAGGCCCTGGGTGAGTGTGAAGACTCAGGGCTATAAATATTTGGGGGAGACAAGAGTTCCTCTCCTCCCCGTCTTTCTCCCATCCTGCTTCCCCATTTAGACCTTTCCAGGGGAACTCAAGGTGCCCCCCCCTTGGCTGAGTCACCCCACCCCCGGCTTCCTTCTTTGCCATATGTCTCCCTTGCCTCGCCTCGGCTCTCCAACATCCAGGGCTGGCCTAGATCCAGAGCAGTGGGTGCCTTCACCCAGGACCCCCCCAAAAAAAAAAAATGTGCCCTGCCCATACCGGCTTGCTGAGCTCAGGCCCGTGCCTCTGACCCCTGCCACCTGACCTTTGCCCCAACCAGAACCCCGGCGCTGTGCATCCTGCCGAACCCAGCGGACCCCTCTCTGGAGAGATGCGGAGGATGGAACCCCACTTTGCAACGCCTGTGGCATCAGGTTGTCAGCAGACAGGAAGGGGTCGGGGTGGGGTTCTGGTTCCTAGACTTCATGGGATAGGAAGAGGTCACGCTCCTGGGAGCTGTACCCCCTCCACCCCTGGAGCACTTCCTGAAGGTTCCACTTCCTGTCTCCCCAGGTACAAGAAATACGGCACCCGCTGTGCCAGCTGCTGGCTGGTACCCCGAAAAAACGTGCAACCTAAGCGGCTCTGCAGCAGATGCGGAACGGCCCTGGGCTCCCCCACAGACCCTGCACAAGAGGACTAAGCCCAGCCCGCGGTCCTGCCTCAGTTTCTCCTCCAGGAAGCATGGAACCAGAGAGCGGTGAGAGGTCCGGCCTGCTTCCTCTCTGCCCAGTGGAGAGGCCCTGAGCCCCCTTCTCCGCCGGCCACTTCTCCTCCTGAGCCCTGACCCCTGGGCCCTGAGCCCCCTTCTCCGCCGGCCACTTCTCCTCTCCTTGGTTTCCGCTCCATAGGGGCGCCCGAGCCTCCCAGCCATCCTCACTGTTCCCCCATGGTAATAAAGAGCACTGTGCGCAGAGAGGGGGTGTTGTGTGATTGGGGGTCGCCCCATGACCCTCCCTGCCTGCTCCCTAAGTCTTGAGGGACACATGGAGAATACGGGGAGCTGGAGGCCCCTGACCCCATGGGGAGAGCCACTCCACGGCACCCACACACATCTGAACGCCTATCCCGGCACACGTCTCTGGATGTACATACACAAACCTGAAGCACCAAGGCAGCCATACATGTGAACATCCCCCCATCAGCCCGCCAGCCCCCCAATGCGCTCTCTCTTTCACGTTAGCCCACCCCATAGCAGGCCCCCAAAGACCAGGGGTGCAAGAGTGACCATGGGCAGATGTTACCCTGCAGGCTACGCGGCGGGGGAGGGGGGGGGGTGCGGGGGGGCGGCCAGGGGTTCACTGCCCTCCTGTGCTCAGATACTTCTCTTGTTGGCTGGGGATCCCCAAAGTCTCTCTAGGGCTGTGTCTGCCTTTGCTTGGGGGAGGGACCAGCCCAAATAGATACACACACAAACCCCCATGGGCCCCTCTGCCAGACACACACACACATATACACACCAGCCCCCTCTGCCAGACATATACACACACATGTACACCCTCTGCCAGACACACACACACACACACACCCGGCCTCTGCCAGAAATAGACATATATACACACACACCGAACTGAACCCGGGTCGGCCATGTGCAAGGCAAACGCCCTCCCTGTTGTGCAATCGCTCCAGCCCCTGTCTCTCACACGCTTGCTCTTCTGTCTCTCACACTCTCTTGCTTTCTCTCTCTCTTGCTCACTCTCTCACTCTCTTACACACACTGTCTCACACATTCTCACTCTCTTGCTCTCTCTGTCTCTTGATTGCTCCTTACACACGCTACTCTCCCTCTTGCTCTTCTCTCTCTCTCTCTCTCTGGTTCTCCACGTTCCTGAGCTTGGGAGAGGAGCCTGGGGGAGGGAGGGCAAGGGGGGACCAGCAGCTGTTCTCTCCTTATGTTTTGAGGGGGCGGGCGCTGTGGGGGTGGCAGCAACAGAGCCCATTCCTGTTTGGAATCAGGAGGTGCCTGCTTGAAAGGCAGGCTTGGGTAAGCTGAGGCGAGGCTGATCACAGGGTGGAGCTGAATCCTTTTTTTCTCCCCGGGTTTTGTTTTGGGGGTGGGTGGGTCACACCTCTCAATACTCAGAGGGTTACTCCTGCCTTGTGCTCAGCATCTCGGGGATCACTCCTGGCGAGGTCTGGGTACCCTATGAGATGCCGGGAATTGAGCCCAGATTGGCCGCATGCGAGGCAAATGCCTTCCCCACTGTACTATTGCTCGGGCCCCAGAATGCTCACTTGCTTTTTGTTTTTGGAGCCACACCTGGCAGTGTTCAGGACTTACTCCTAGCTCTGTGCTCGGGGATCACTCGAGATGGTGCTCAGGGAACACTATGGGGTGCTGGGGATGGTACCCAGGCTGGCTGTGTGCAAGCCGAGTGCCTTCCCCGTGGTCCTCTCTCTAGCCCAAGGAATGCATCCTTGAAGAGGAGGGATCTGCCGGGAGCTGACACTCAGCTACAGACATAAGGTTTGCCCAGCCTCTGGGGGGGAGTGTGGAATGGGGATGGGCATGGCTGCTTCCTGGCAAGGGGGCCCCACCCGTCCTGGGAAGGCAGCCTCAGCTCTGCCTGGAAAGCTGCCTGGGGAAGCACCGAGCTCTCCCTGACGCCAGGAGTTAGCTGGGCGGAAGAGATAAGCACCGGAATGGGAGGATGCTCACCTCTGCCCCAGGATCCGGTGACCTTGGGAAAATGGCTGGCATCACAGGGGCAAGAGCCAGATCCCTGTTTCCCGCACTAGAGGGCCTCAAAAATCAAAGCCAGTGCCGAGAAGTGGCCGAGTGCACATCAGGACCTGGGTTTGATCCCCAGCATTGCCCAAAAAAGGGAGGGGAATACCCAAAACCGAAAATCAAAACTGGGGACTAGAGTGATAGAACAGTGGGGAGTATGTTTGCCTTGCACGTGGCCAACCAGGGTTTTATTCCCATTATCCCATAGGGTCACCCAAGCACCGCCAGGAGTAATTCCTGAGTACATGAGCCAGGAGTAACCCCTGTCCTGTACATCGCCGGGTGTGACCCCCAAAAATAAAATAAAAACTGGCTCTGGGGAGGGTGCTCAGCCAGGCTGGCCATGGGCTGTGTGTGTAGGAGGCCCCATGTTGGGTCCCTAGCCTCTCTCGTGTGGTCCCCTGAGCACTGCAGAGTGTGCCCCCTCCATAATGGCCTGCCTAAGGCCCCCAGTTGGGTTTCCTGCACTGTGTTTTGGGTTATTATTATTATTATTATTTTTGCTTTTTGGGTCACACCCGGTGATGCTCAGGGGTTACTCCTGACTGTGCTCATATGGGGACCATATGGGATGCTGGGAATCGAACCCAGGTTGGCCGCATGCAAGGCAAACACCCTACCCATTGTGCTATGGCTCCAGCCCTTCCAGCACTGTTTTGTGGTTGTTTTGGGCCAACACTGGCCGTGCTTAATAAGGGCTCATTCCTGGCTCTGCACTTGGATTCCCTTGCTAGGCTCATGTATGTGGCAAGTGCCCTTCCCGCTGTCCATCCCTCTAGCCCACTTTGCAATTTTTTAATTTATTTTTGGGGTTTTCTTTGTATTTGTGTTTGGGGGCCACACCGGTGATGTTCAGGGCTGACTCCTGGCTCTGCGCTCACGAATCACTCTTGGTGGGGCAGGGGAAACATCTGGGGTGCTGGGGATTGAACCCAGGTCTGCTGCATGCGAGCCAACGCCCTCCCACTTTACCATTGCTCCGACCCTGTCCCAAGTTTTTTAAATAAATTCCCAGGGTTAGAGAGGTGGGGACGGGTGCACGTGGTAGAGCTCCCGAATCCTTTATAAAAACTTTATTGGGGAGGGGTAGAAAAGAGGGGTAACCGCGCCTGGAGTCGAATAAATAAATAAATAGAGCAATGAGTTGGCCCCCAGGTGTGCCTGTGCGGGGGCGACCCCCGGCCCGCGGGGTGAGGACAGCAGGCTCAGGCCGACGACGTCAGCTGGATGGAGAAGACCTCACCCCCTGCGGGGGTCTCGGCTCCGCCCGCCGCCTCGGTGCCCCCTTCGGTGGCCAGGCTGCCCGCGCCGCCGCCCGCGCCGTTGAGACACACGGCCTCGCCCGAGCTCTCGGCCTCCTGCACGTTGTACTCGCCCTTCTTGCAGGCCGTGGACTGCACGTAGAAGGCCAGGCCGGCCCCGGCGGCCAGCAGCACCGCGCCCCCCGCCGCGCCGCCCACGGCGACCCACAGCCACGGACCTGCTGAGCGGGAGAGGCTTCCTGCAGGCGCCGCCGCCGCCGACCCCGACCCCGGCCGCCCCGCCCCCGGGGGCCGCCCACCCCACCCACCCCGGAATCGCTGGGACAGCCTCCCCGGGAGTCAAGCTACTCTCCTCCGCCCCCAGGAGAATTAGAGGAGACGGTGATTCGTCCGCCCCAGAAAGACCCCCACCTCCGAGACACACGGCTCCCACCTCCATCCCCTGCTCCGGGCCCCTCGCCACCCCCTTCCCCGTCTCCATGGCGACACGGTGGCGACTCTCCACTCAGAGGCCACTTCACCTTCACATATCTCTTCCCGATACTATACGTCATGGGATTCCTCCATATGAGCAATGATCAGCGACCTTGGCCTCTGTCCCCACCCCAGCTAGCCCACCCTGGCGGGGCGCCCCACTTCTACCCTAGCTCACCCTTCAGCATGGGGGGCTGCGTTCAGACGAGCCTCCGCCGAGGCCCCGCCCCGTGAGATAGCCCCGCCCTTGCGACCTTTCGTCAGGAGCCCCACAACTCGCTCGCCCCGCCCCCAAGGACTATCGCCCCGCCCCTGCAGCTCACACGCTCCGCCTTCCACGGCTAACTCACCCCAGCCGCGGCAGCTCGCTCGCCCCGCCCCCTAAGACAGATCGCCACGCCCCTTCATCTCGCTCGCCCGCCCCCAAGGATTATCGCCCCGCCCCCTACAGCTCACACGCTCCGCCCTCTACAGCTAATTCACCCCGGCCCGGGTAGCCCGCTAGCCCCGCCCCTAAGCCAGATGGCACCGCCCCCTACGGCAGCTAGCCCCGCTCCTGCATCCCGCTCGCTCCGTCCCCTGTCGTTCACTCGCTCCACCTCTACAGTTCGCCCCACCCCCAGAGTTCGCTCGCCCCGCCCCCGCCGCCGAGCGCCCCGCCCCCGATGCCACTTACCAGCCACGCGCACCGTGATCCGCCGCGCGTGGCGCCCGTGCGCGTTCGTGGCTGCGCACTCGTACTCGCCGCCGTGGCTGCCCAGGGCTCCCGCCACGCTCAGCGTGCTGTTGTTGCTGGACAGGCCGAGGTTGAGTGCCCCCGGGGGTGCGCGCCAACTGATCTGCGCCGGGGGCCAGGCTTCTGCGCGGCAGGTCAAAGTGAAGTTCCCGCCTGGCCGAACTCCTCCCGGGGGCGAGGCGGCCAACTCGGCCACCACCGGCCGGTCTGCCGGGGACAGAAATGCACGGGGTCAACCCAGTCCAGCCGCTTCTGCCCTCCCTAGTCTGGCGGCCTCATCTGGGGGGCCTGGCATCCAATATGTGCCTCCTCCGTCTAGAATGCTGTAGGTCGTAGGCGGGGCGGAAATCCCTAAATCGCTGCGGAGGGGAGCAGCGCCAGGACCCACCTTATCCAACATTTGGGGAAGGAGGCTTCAGCATTCATCAAGTTTTCTCTGTCCCCCCATAACGGGAGAGGAAACTCCCTCCTCGAGCG